CAAAACGAAGAGTTATTATGACTTTAACTCATACGATTCTTTCTAGTGGTCATAAATATTATTAATTAAAACTGTATTATATATTTAAAACGCGTCGNATTCCAGCCGAATCCCACGAATATTCGTAACACTATCGTACCTGTATCGTAACTGAATCGTGAGCGTGTCGAATTAGACCAGAAAATTGGCAAAATCTCACGAATCCTGAAATTTGTCAATTCCTGGCGATTCGTCGGGTTCGTAATCTGTGTGAAATAGGGGCCTTACTTAAAGGTACCTTAAGGTGCTGAGGGCCATGGGAACCAGAGTCAGCCACCTCCCCCAAAACACTTGCCAGTTAACTGCATCTTAAAAGAGACGCAGCGACAATGCTTATATGATCAAGAACACCTCAGCATTTAGTATCTTGTCCCTCTTGAATGTAATATGGGCGCCATTGCTGGCGGATACAGGACAAAGGCACAAACATGTGGCCGCAGTGCAGCCATGTACACATTTATAATTGGTCCACGATGCAGCAAAGCAGGCCTACAGCTCACAGATCAGTACGGTATCTGTACAGTTCCGCTGAAGGGACAGAAACTGGCGCAGTTGCAGCTTAGAGACAATTTCTCTGATTTATAGCACATCAGCTTGACTTTGAAGGCCTCTTAGATGTCTGTCACCCTGAGCTTCAGAGATAACTTGCCACTAACCTCTTCACTATAGCCTATCTTCATCGTGTCAAGTTACTTGACACGATGAAGATAGGCTATAGTGAAGAGGTTAGTGGCAAGTTATCTCTGAAGCTCAGGGTGATGTCTGTATGCACGATGTCATTTTTTCTGATGATTTAGTCTACTATATTGTTCCACCTATGGAATTATTTTTTTAATCAGCGTTCAATTGCACATTTTTTGCCTTCGGTGCTTTAAGGGTGCTTTCCCAGAGATTTAGATCGATCTAAAGATTAAGTTTTAGATCGACCTAACTCCCTGGGGGTTCAGGCTAAATTGCAGTCAGCCGAGCGGACACCATAGTTAATTACCCCCTTACAGCTTTTAGTAGGCGGGACAGACGCTTAAAGATGCATACAAAGTCAATTTTTTGTCACAAAAACCAACCAAATGCCAGCATATAGTTTCAAGTAGTATAACTAAGAGAATTACCAAAAGGCATTGTTTAATTTTACTCGAAAATGATGTTTGAACATATTTTTCTGCTGGCATTCTAAGCTGTATGTCAATGGGGTAGGAAAGTAGGTCACTGAAGTAGGTTAAATTTACAACCATAAATTTAAAGAAAGGAGCAGTCTAAAGGTCTTTTATGGCTGATCGAGTGATCTATTCAGTTTATCCCTTGGCATGTCGAATTTATTTGAGCCATATAAGAATCTAGTAGAAGTGGTTTACATGTGTTACTGGGAATCCACACTCCACCGATGCTCGGTTCGTATTTACCTTTAAGCCGGCCAAGCTGACAGTAATCTAGTGAGACTCCCCACAGGGATAGATCGATCTAAAAATCTATGGAAATGGAGTGTAAATGACATAGTACTTTTTGTTACGTAGGGGTTCGTTGTCTCGCGGTTCTAAAATGCTTTATCTTGTATCCGTATCTTTGTCGATCTTGATTGTAGGAAATTCCCTAGTTTTCTGTAAGCTGGTAAGTGGCTGTAAATTATTTTCCACATGACTTCGAGCCTCTGCAATTTGACCCTAGTTAAAGTTTGACTGGGCCATTGTCATGCAGCATTAAGGTACCTGACCCGGGGTGTTTAGATTAGTAATCACCTGTAACAAACCGAACTACTTGTATTTGTATGTCTTCTAGTTTTTAGTTACATAATCAATATTAAACGGAACGTTTTGATCCCACACAGCGCTGCACTCGAGTATACATGTACATGTACATCTGCCTGGTGAAATGTACATGCATCTTTTGCACGGTTGCTCACAGTTCTAGGAGATGCTGTCGCAAACATCTTTGTGAAATGCAGGGGCGGATCCAGAGCTATTTTCTGACAGTCTTTCAAATTATCTTTGTTGATCCATCGTGCATTTTTGACCATCTTCTGTCAGAAAAAAATTAGATGCCCCTCAACGTAAACTTGAAAATCTGACCCAGAAGACGGTCTCAATCCGCCCCTGATTTTAGGCTTCGTTCACATGCAATGTCTATTTTCTAAATTCTATTTTCTATTCGCGGCATGTGTTGTGATCACGGTCTGTGCCCTGAATATCCCGCGGCGTAATTACTGGCAGCGCGAGCCAGTTACTATAAGTTACTATAAGTAACTGGCTCGCGCTGCCAGTAAATACGCGTCGGGATATTCAGGGCACAGACCGTGATCATAAGATAGCGCGAATAGAAAACAGATTTTTAGAAAATAGACATTCCATGTGAACGAAGCCTTAATGTATGCATCATTTTGCACGATTGCTCACAGCTCTAGATGCCGTTGAATGAATCTTCAACACGAATTTTGATGTTATTTATGTGTCCAATCCATTTAAAATCGATTGGAATTTCGATCCCAAAATATGAGTTGTGTGGCACTTGCTCAAATACTGATAACGTTATTAGATAACAGAAAAACCTTGTGGTGCAGGGGCGATTTAGGCTGTCTTCTGGGTCTTCTGGAAGACGGTCAGATTTTCAAGTTTTCATTGACGGGTATCGAATTTTTTTCTGTTGGAAGACGGTCACAATTGGAGGATGGATCAATAAATATAATTTGGTAGACTGTCAGAAATTATCTCTGGATCCGCCCCTAATGTTGTAAGAGACTACGCGCACGAAATATGTCGCATATTTTCGCATTGAATTGGCTGTCCCATTCTCTTGTAGGATTTAAGTCATCTTGGAATTTTCTTGTCAGATATGACGAGAAGATTCAGATGTCATCAGCAAATAAACGGACTTGAAAGTTAATGCATTTTGGAAGATGGTTATTATTTCACAGATAAAGAACAACAGACCCAACTCGTCTTCCTGTGGAACTCTAGATTTCATCTTCTTAAATCATTCTGCCAAGTGAAATTATTTCTGCCGATCTTTGCATGTTGATATGCCACAATGATAGGATATTTACAAGATTTTCTTTTGTATTTAGTTGTCACCCGAAGAAGAAAAACAGCGCATCAGCAAGCGGCAGAGAAACAGACTGGCGGCTGTTAAATGTCGGCAAAGAAAGCGAGAGAAAATGCGGCGCCTCATCAAGGTGGGTTAGGATTAACATGGTGTAAATATGTTGCCATGCTCCGCTTACGTAAACGACCTCTAACGACACTTCTCCATTAACTAAGAGTTACAAGAGGACATCAAGGGTGCTTTATGCTAGATGGGAAGGGTGTGCTTTGGTCGATATTTCACTGAAGTATTCTGCTGTTATCCAGATAATTGATAGGAGAATATCATATCTAGAATACTGTCGTTTCGATATTTAAAATCTTTTTTGTATTCATTTTTACTACAGAGTTTTTCTCAATTTTTGCGTTGTTTTCATTTCAGCTTACTGAAGATCTACAAAGCAAAAACACTGTACTACAGTACACTAACTTAAAGCTAAAGGAAGAAAGGAAACGACTTGAAGAAACTTTAAAAGCGCACCTCAAAGTTTGCAAAAGACATTTAAATCGACCGGCAGACAATTCAAGAGGAGTCATTATCATCATAACAGACAAAACGAACACTCCCTGCCCCCAAAAAAGATAAAAAGGTTACATAATCTAGAAGGTGGTTTCAGTGGGGTGGGGTTGGCATAGGGGGCTTAATGTCATTTTGTATTTAATTGGACATTTGGAGACATTTGTCTGAATATGGTACAAGATTTAGAGCTTTGAGAAAAACTTCTCACTGTGAGCGTGCGTGCATGGGTGCATGTGTGCATATATTCATTTGATTAGGTTAAAAAACATTGAAACACCAATATTCACTTATGCAGTTTATATTCAGGAAATTATATTTAAAATAATTCACACTGATTTTTACATAATTCTCATCGTGAAAAAATTAATCATTTTCACACATTTTCACACATTTTTTTCATGAAAATTTGACTGATATGCTTTATATAAATAACGTATCACAGATAAAAACACAGTAAATATCACCTATCCTCAAAATAATATTTTGCATTATCTATTTATCATATCTGATAAAAAAACAAACTACTGATCTTGATAAAAATCTTCATTTATGTTTTAAACCAACAAAAATACAAATCTTGTAAAATATATTAACATATACTAGTACTTCACCACTGGGAGTAATGGGCATAGGTAAGTAGTAAGTGATCATAAAATGCATAGAGGGTGTTTAAAATAATAAAACATAAAAAACATACTATAAAAAAGATATGAATAAACAATCTTTAACAGAATGTGTTTGACTCAGTGTTATCTAAAACACCTTTTCTTAGGACGGATGTGTTTATCAGCAGATTGTGTGCACTTTGAAATGTGGGCGGAGGAAACTGCAAGTTACACTTGCACATGTGTGAATAATAATTAGTGATTCTCTAAAGAATATTAGACATATTTCACTTCTATCACATTGCTGTACACGTGCAATATCCCACTTATAATAACCTTATATACATTTTAAACAGTGATCCTATTTTTACTCCATGTATTTCTGCTTGGAATGTGATATACAAATCACCCACCCACCATCTCCTGAATCAATATTTCAAAATATTTATACCTGTTAAAAGTCAGGGTGACATAGCAACATCTTGTGACCATCAACATGTCTGTATAGTCATAGAGCTATGAGTAAAGCACTAATAAATAGAATAAATACAGATATCAGAAAAATAGCTGCATATAATTATATAAGGCAACCAAGTGAAAGCACAGGGTTTGTGATATAATTGTTACCAAGTGCTATTTGTTCATTTTAACTGTTCTATACATGTAAAAGCAGCCACTGTTGTTCCTATAAATTAAAACTTTTTGCCAAGCCTCATGAAGGCACTCCACAGCTGTCAATGTCATGGTACTGATTGGGTTGGACATTTCATCATTTTGGTGGCACTTATATTAATCATCTAGTTGACAGAGAAGAGCCACCCCCCTGGTTACCCAGAATTCTGGGGAGTGGTCTGTGGGGAGATGGACGGTGGTCACAAAGTTTGTGGAGTGACCAGTTGAGGACAGAGTTCCCGCCCTGGCTGAGGTACGATACAGTGGACATTCGTAGGATTTCTTCTCAGGATCTTCCTCTTTCGTTTTGAAGGCATTGTCGACTGGTGAGTCAGTCTGTTGAACAGGAACTGTAGTGGAGATCTGAAAGTAAACAGGACCACAATGCCTCAGTTATTACTACGATACACTTTAATGTGACGAGATATTCAGCACATTGGCACAGTTCCAAAGCTTAACACAGCAATCTAAATTTGGAAAAACGATCCGATTGACGTTTTTTTTTAGTGCCCTAGAGAGTGCAAAATGCAGCTAAAAAATAGAGAAGAAAATGTTTACAAAAGCAAATAAATACAAACTAAGGACATAAAGAAAATTCATACAGCTATATTTAAAAGATGAGTCACACGAGTTACCTGAGCAGGTAGAAAATGTATCTCTGGCAGTCTACAGAACCTCTGTCCTGGCAGAGAGTCCATCACCGAGTGGTTGCTAGGGTCCCACCTGGCACCATCCAGGTACAATCCAAACACAAGAACCCCTTCCTTTGGTGGAGGAGGACCCTGGAATGTAAAATATTGTACACTGTGATGAAGAATAAAACGTAATTTTTAATTCTAAAATGAATATAATATAATATAATATAATATAATATAATATAATATAATATAATATAATATAATATAGTCTTTTTGGTTATTTTATATACTTTTTGAAATGCCTTCAATATTCTGAATCATTCTACTACTTCTCCCACACTCCATACCTGATCTTGAACCCCCCAATATCTCACCTTGAACCCCAACCCCCGTCTTACTTTGAACCCCCCACCCTCATATCTCACCATGAACCCCCACCCCCATATCTCACTTTAAACCCCCACCCCATATCTCACCTTAAACCCCCAGTCCCTGACAGGAATCTTCTGCTTCACATCATTCAGGCTCTCCTCGTTATCATGTGGGTTGGTGTTGATCACCTCAAACTGGAACATCAAGGAATCCACAGACACTCCCTGCTTCCTGGCGTGATTCTGGAAGACTCCAGTTAGGAAACCTGGAAACAGAACAGAGATTGTTAAAATAATATCCTTCTCTTAAAACTAGAGGATCAGAGAGATTNATGATAATTACCCAGTGTGTAATTTTAATTCTAACTGTCGGTTGAGACAAAAAAAAAACATATTTCAAGGGTCCCAAGTTAAGCTTAATAACCTTGTACTTAATACTCTGAAATAGTTTTGATTTTAAATTCTGACAAAATGCACATGTATTGATATATAATCAAATACTTGTCATCTACTTCTCCCTGAAACCTTGTAATACCTTGAGGGAAGAAGAAACCAGGCAACCAGAAGCTCCTGGGAGTCTCTCTGGCCTCTGTCTTGATGAGGTCATGGGCATCCACCTGTGTTTGCCCCCTGGACATGGGCTGTGGGGGAGGAGGGGGTCTGACCACCCTGTTAGCAGCTTCTACTACAAGGTCTGACCAACTGGCAAAGAAGTCCACCCTCTGGATTAAATCCTTCACCCAGGAGCCCAGAGGTTTACAACTTTCATAGGCAGCTTGCTGAAAACACACAGATTACATAAATGATATATATAATATACATATAACAAACCAATCATGTACATTATGTTAATACACATCTACTGAATTCTTACTGGTCAATTCTTGGTTAATATAGCATTTTTTGTCTCTTCCAGAGATTCAGAGCCTATAATATATCATAACTAACCTTCCACTGAGCTGGTACTTTCTGTGTCAACATGGCGTTATAAGCCTCCTCTAGTGGCTCTGACATCACAATCTCGCCCTTAACGGCACGGCACAGCTCGCGCAGGGACTTGTGGATGATTTCAAGGAGGTTGTTGAACCTGTCGATCTCCTGGCGCAGGACAGTGACCAGAGCAGACTGGAAGATTGGCTGCAGGGCCTCCAGCTCTGGGTGAGAGGGGCCGTCTGCCACTGGGGTGGGGGCGTGGCTTCCTATCAGGCAAATAGTATCAGAGCATAGGTACATGCTGAATATTTGAGACAAATATAAGTGTATTCAATATGGATGTTTAACCCAAATGACTCTGACAATTGGTGCAAATCCAACTGAAATAATTTGCACAAGCTGATACAAGCAAAAGACTGGCATAATATGGATTAATTCTTTACATTTTTTGGTCATACGTACTTGCTCGTTTTTCTCCTGGCACTGCAGCCACTTTGAAGACATCAGACAAACAATGAAACATATCTCTCTTGCTGGTTGACGTCTGCTTCTCCTCCTCTTCCTCTTCCACGTCCTCCATTGTCTCTGGCAGGCTCCTCATGATATCTGCTGCCATCTCTAGGACAAGCTCATCACTACTCTTGTTGGACCTGTCAGATATATAAGTGTTTGTATTGAATTATGAAGAGTGAAGCAACTTTTTCAAATCGCCAAATACAACTGTTTATGTTAATTTAGTGGATATAACTTGTTTTATCAAACTCAATGACTGTTAAGGGATATGTCGCTTCAGATATTTTCTATCTGGGATCTCGTACCCTATCATCCCTCCAGACAGCCTGGGCTGTGCTCCCTTACCCTATCATCCCTCCAGACAGCCTGGGCTGTGCTCCCTTACCCTATCATCCCTCCAGACAGCCTGGGCTGTAGACTTATAATGGTGTCCACCAGTTCTTTGGCCTGACTCTCCAGGTAAGCTTTCTCGGCATTCTGGTTCATCCCAAACACCTCGGGGGAGTCCACAGGGGGGAGGCCATCGATGTACTGCTTCACCTCTGAGAAGGTAAAGCTGGGAGGCAGAGGGTGGTACACCTGGACAGGTAACATATACACAGTAAATGGGCATCTTAGTAACACAAATAATGGTTACAGTTATAATCTGACAAGAGACAGAAATTAATCAAAAAAGCAATATAATATATAGAATTACCGTAGAGCTAATTCAAATGTTATTTTTTTTTTCTAATGTCATACTTGAAAACTATTGGGATGCTCTCTTTTTAGATAATTTTAAAAATCAGAATATACAGCATTATGTCAGTAACCCTTACTTTATTTCAAGTATAATAAAAATAACAACTACTTCACTGAATCCAATCCATCAGTTATTATACACCAGGCATGGCAACAGAACACAAACCTCATCTGGTGAATATGTATATCCAGGTTCCAGGGCCTCAGCACAGTAGAATCTGCGTAGAAGACTGTGTAGACATCGTCTGTCCCAGTCATCTGTCACTCTCCCACCATAAGTGACCTCTCCGGTCAAATAACGCAGGGCGGCCCAGGGCAACCCCTCCCCCTCCATCCCCAGCAGCAGGTCCAGTTGAAGAATTGACACCTGAAATTTGTGATTGTGTATTAACAGTGCATGATAGATTTCAGATTATATAGAGAAAATATAAAGGGGGCTACCAAAAAAAAAAACAAAAAAACTAGTAGTTACATTAATATTAGCTCCATATGTACTTACATTTCTGAATCACAAATGAAATTGATGCCTTTAAAAGCTTTACATATTGTGCATACAGTACTCTAATTTAGCTCAACTCACCTCTAAATCAGAATCATTAAACTCATATGGAATATTCCACCCCAAGGCTCCATATTTCTTCCTTTCGTGTATCACAGCATTAAAGAAACACAGACCAAACAACAGGTTCCGCCATGACGCCTCCTTGTCCACGTCATCGTACAGTTTCTCACTAACAGCACCTGTTCCGCCAGTGCCAAATGACCGGGCTAGGTTGGCTTTCAGACCTTGTGGAGACTCCACAGTCATCTGAAAACAAGGCAACAGTAATAATTGGCATAAAACATGCAGTGCTTGGAAGTGCTTTAACTGTCTGGTAAGACACCAGATGATTTGTGCTTACTTGGGTAGTATATGAATTATCAGGAATTTGCTTAATTATGTCTCTTAATTCTTTAAATAAAACAATATACTGCAACCAAAAGGGTACTGTGTTTGATCTATATGCATATAAACTGCTAAGGATATTTATAAAACAAATATTGATCATAATGTGGCAGAGACCCATGTGGCAGTATCACATACCTTGAACCCAGTCTGTAGTATAGAGATGGGGAAGGAGGGGTCTGGTTTGGAACTCAACCACAGACGGAACTGGGGATCCACATCAGCTTTTGGCTTGTTGAAACTAGGAAACAATATTACACGCAAGTATATAGATGATCATCAAATTAATATACCTGTTACTTCAACTCAAATGAAATTTTTGAGATGATAAATGAAAGTGATTAAGTAAAGCAGATGAAGTAAAAATAATCTGTCTTGTTTGTCTTGAAACAATTGTGTGTTAATTTTTTAAAGGCACATTTATTTGACTGACTGCTATTAAACCATGGATCTATGTGAGAAATACATAAACTACTTTAATAGGAAGAGTGATCTAGTGTTAGCGAGAGCTCTTATATCATTACATAACATTACTATTATAATCATTATTATAATTAGTCTCTTACTTGTCCACTATTTCCTGTAGTTTAGGCATCCAGGAAGCTGCAAGATGGCAATTCTGCAAGAACACCCATCTTCCCTTCAAGATCTGAGCCTTGGAGATGAGTTCCTCTGCCTTGGGGCCCTGCCCCCTCCCCAGGGAGATCATGTCCAGATGCAGGGTACTCCCCCTCAGTTCTTTAGCAAACCTCAGTAGCTGACCCCCGGGGTCTGAGCCTGGGAATGAGAATAAGAGTAAGTGTCAGGCGCTTGCACTGCTTATTGATATTTACTCAGACCAGGTTAATAGTTTGATACAACATTTATAACATTTATCATGTATTGAATAAACTTTGATAAAACTGACTTTAACATTGCTTATTCTAATCCCACCATTCTATATGAAATGTGCTGCTTTTTTGTTATAAATATAAACATGTGAAATATATGGAAATAAATGCTGCTGTATTAACTTTTTATCTTTTTGCCCAGTTATGTTTCAAATCATACATATATGTAACTATATTGCAAAAGACGGACCATGAAAAATTGTAAGTTGTTATAAAATACTCCTGGCAACATTAAGTGACAAAATCCACTTCTACAAAAACATTTACCTGGAGACAGTATAAAGATGAGTGGAGTCTTAGCAGACGATTCCTCAAACACCTCTCTGAGATCAAAGGCGCCAGTGGACAGGAACTTGGACCCCATCTGGTCATTGACAAACATGCGGACAGATGCTACCAAGGTTTCAGGTCTTAGTGTTTTAATAAGTATTAGTCTCTGAAACCTGCTTAGATTTTCCCAGTGGAATATTTCCTTGTACATGTGGTTGATGTTTTCTTCACCTAAGAGAAATAAATGTAAACGATCTTAAATCTTCAAAGATAATTGTCTTATGCAAGGGTATCACCAGTACTTTAATTTAAGTACTTTAATTACTGTAAAAGGCAATGTTAACAAGTTCCCATTAATGAGATGATAGACAAACACTTTATATAAGTTGATTGATATTTGGTTATTAAAGGCCACTATTTTTATACCAACCCCATATGGAATTTAAAAATCTCAAATGAACTAATCATCAATGTTATCAAACAATAATGTGAATAACTGATGACAGTGGTATAAACTATGAAGTCTGTCCATCATTACCTTGTGCAATGACAGCAGGATCAAAGGCAGCCTCCATGATATGATAGGGGTCCTCCGTCCTGGCGAACAACTCCCACTGTACCCTGTTACTCATAACGCTACGGAGCAGGTGGTCAAACACAGGCATAGTGGCCTCCATGTACTGACACTCTCTCCACATAGAGGGCGTGACCCATCTCGGTCTCTGAAATACCACCCCCTGGGACTGGGACTCTAGACGCTGCATGGCACTCAGACCTGGGAGGGGGGAGAGAATAGATGGGTTATCAATAATAGAAGTGCACAGTACAGGAAATTGAATGTGTGATGATATGATAATCAATATCCAAAATATTGAGTTTTTAAAAACTCCACATAAAATTCAGTAGCTTCTTAAACTCTTACACATAAAAAAGATCTAAGAAACCAACAAAAGATGGAATTTCCCTATCCTACCAGTATCTCCTATGCGTTAATAAGAATTCCTTCCACAGGTAGATTCCGGCACCACTTACCATCATGAGCCTGTAGAGTGTCTTCATCCATCATACTGGCCAGTACTGAGCCCTGTAAGAACACCATCCACTCTGTGTCTTCTATCACACCAATCTGGCTCACTATGTCTCCATACTTAGCATTGGACCGCATCACACTGGTGTTCAGCATAAAAGAAAACATCAGCTGGTGATTGGAGAAAAGTCCCACCGATACTGCCCGGTAAACGCTGTACGTCAGCCTGTCAATCATCTGCTTCATGTGTTTGTTTAGGTCGTGAGCCGAGGGTCTGAGAGGAGGGTCTTTTTCTGTCTTTTGGGGGGCCAGGTCGGGGCTGCCTCTGCTTGAGGGGCGTAGGGTGCCACGCAGGTGACTGCTGGCTCTGTCGGCCGAGGACGGGCGGTCCTCAGGGGTGCTGATACAGGTGATGAACATGTTCTGGAACCAGGGCAGGGAGAACTGGTACATGACGTCCACGGAGGCAAGGTCAGAGAGGGCAAAGTAGAGCACAGCGCCCCTGGTGGCTACCTGGAGAACAGAACAGATACCTGTCATATTATAACTGATGCTTTCAGGTAACTTACCATTGCAACAAAACACATATAAATGTATTTCTCTTTGAATTTCTAATGTGTCTGCAGTGTTGTTGTATCATGCTGACAGTAAAATTCCAAACACTATAATAAAACTAATAATGTACATATAGCAGCAAAATCTAGGAGAATACATATGTATCCCTAGGATGAAGACAGTCAAATTTTATTTTTCAAAAGTTAGAAAAATAAAACAAAATTAAAGTTTTCTAAAGTATTTATCAAACTTGACTTCAACATCTATAAGAGCTTGCACTTCATTGTTGTTTTCTCATATCTCATTACGTAACACCCAAAGATCCCATCCTTCACGTACAGGTAAATACTTGAGTCTGGCTTTATTCAAACTCTTCTCTGTCTCCTCTGATTGCTGGACTCTCTGAGATATTTCACCACTGGTCACTTTACTTTTCTTCAGGGTGTCCACTAGGTCTTGGTCATCTAGGATATGGCCTAAGAAGATGGGAGACAATTAAGATATTATATACATTATCAAGGTAAAACTCTTATAAAAATTCTTTTTTACAAAAAATAAAAAGATATTATAAGATATAATTCTAAATTCCCCTACCTTATATCATTTATCAATATTGATAATTTATCAATAACTGATGTGAATCTTAATCATGACACAGTGCTGGTTAGGGATATTGTATGTGATGAGTGGGATATTGTATGTGATGATTCTCAAAACATAATTTGCTGTTTTATTTTTATTTTTATGTGAAATCATACATCATGGAACAGTGATAGAAAAAAAAAAACTGGTGACATCATCTTTCAACTCAGCACCTAACTATGTAGGCATAATAATGCTAATTCAAATATGCAAAGTTCAATATCACAAACCAAGCCCCTGTCAAACTCCCATTGAAAGAAGCCAGTACCTTGAGATTTCTGCAGTAAACTCAGGGACTTATCCTCCAAGTCTCTCAGTAGTTGCAAGTCATGGGCGATACTGGACAGTAGCTCACTTCTCTGGCTCTCTAGCTGAGGACGTTCCTGAAAGGGGGGACAAATGTGACAGGTTATAGCCAAATGTTTATCAATCTTAAGTTTCCATGTTTTTGAAAGAATAGTCTGAGTATAGATACTTATATAGATATCTTATCCCTTAATTTATCCTTTATTTATTTATATTTTTGATGTAAGCATAATAGAGTTGTGATAGAAGTAGCTTAGACAGCAAACAATGTTAATTTGTAACACTTAAAGCTGAATGAATTATTATTATATAACAGCTTCATTCAAGAATAATCAAAAGATCACTTTCCTTGTAAATTGTGATTTTTTTTTTCATTTCAAAAGATTTATATTTATGTTGCATTATAAAATCACAATACATAACTGGGCCCTCCTAACCCCCCCAATGCCCTTGTACAGTAACACTGAGCTATGTTACTAAGATCAGAGTAGCCTAAATCTTAAGGCAGCAATATTACATCACACCACCAAAAGTTTGAATCACAGAAAATTATGTCAAGTTAAATACATTACTTCCTCCTTAATTGTCCCTTGTATTCTTGTATTCAATTTATAGCAGATTTTAACAAATGAGCCATGGCACACTGCTTGCCTCCTCATAATAATTATCTCAAGGGCCTCCAATTAGTCCTACCCATGTCTGCCTCATGGATTATTGACGAGGTACAAGCTCTAATACCAGAGAGGGCACACAGAAAGTAATTAGACTAAGTATAAAACAGCTAGGGTGGATGAATGGAAAATAAACAAGGTACAGATGGGGCTTGTGCAAAGGATGGCACTTTAAAGTCATCAAAAGACAGTCACTGGGGCTTCTACAAGGGATGGCACTGTGAAAGTCAACAAATGACAGTCTGACAAAGTTGTTTGTGTCCGTTCTTTACCTGTTTGACCACCATGGACAGAAGCTGTTCCTGGAGACCGTCAAAAGTGACCGTGAAGTTGATGATAGTGACCTGGATGCAGACAGCAGGTAGGTAGTGGGGGTTACCCATTGATGTGGTCATGTATAGCCTGGAATTATCAACTTAAATCTTGAGTTTTCTGATAACATTAATTGTGTTGTTTGTATTATATATATATACATATCTGCTGCTAAGAATAATTTCAATTTTTTTGAAAACTCGATTAATTTTAGACAGTTAGAACTCCGGCACTTCAAACACCAAATTTTACAATATTTAAATGACATGCAATTTGAAAATAAGTTTAATATCAATGAATAGTAAAATTAATGGCAAACCAGTGCTTTTCATATCTTTCATGTTAGCATTAAACACAAATACTGGCTGACTTTTCTCAAAATTAAGTAAGAATATGCTGAAATACAAATATCTTTTACTTGGTACCTGCTGCCTCATGGAAGTGGTAGCTATGTTATAAAGAGAGTGCGCACTCACCTAAAGTTTTCATTGTATTCAATCTCTGTGTCTCCCAGTTTTATCAGCTGTTGTCCTCCTCTTGTGAACGTCTCCTGGAGAAGGATGGGTTTCAAGGAGGGGTCCAGGGTCTCCGTCACCTCCTGAAAGGTTAACGAGGAAAAGATTAAACTGATATACACACATGCATGCACACGCAAATTCAAGCACATGAATGCATACACTCACACATGCACACACACACACACACAAACATGATTATACAAATAGCAACACATGTAAATAGGACCCATCATACTTTTTAACCTGTATTTGCTGATAGACAAGTATCTACCATATTAAATTATTTATTCTCTTATTTTCTTTTTCTTTCTCATACTATGTAAACAAACAAAGGAAGCATTAGAAGAAGCATAGACAGCCAATAATGTTGACATGTAACATTATGAGTTGAATGAATTATAAGAATTTTGAGAATATTCTATAGTATAAAAAAAACTGTTTGCTTAAGAAAATATTGTTTCGTATAAACTTAATATATTGAATTTGTTAACCAATAATTCAATAGTAATGTATCATTGATAAATTTTATATAAACTACTACTAATGCTGATCAAAACTATCAGTTATCTAAGATCTTAAATTTATCACTTCCCTGAGAACATCAATACCAAATGTCCTGATATGTCATCTTCTTTGACTAACGATAATGGATCATATCCCTACAGATTTCAGTTGGAGACCATTAACTCTTACTATTTCAGGTCAGGACAGATTGAGACTGACTTTAGTGCACTATCTTCTTGAAAGCCATCTAAATAAAGCAGGATATTCTAAGGAGACACTTTCAAATGGATGATTTAGCAGCTAGGATTTCACCTTTCTGATCTAATTATTTTCACTGTAATCCTGACCAGTGCCTGATAACTAAGTTGCTCTAGTTGCTCAACATAAATATATTTTACACACAGGTGCTTTTGCTAGATGTATGCTAAACATCTCAGAGTTAAAGATAATAAACAAGCCATCAGTTACTATAGAACTCCTACTGCAATATCTAACATTGAAGTTTAAGTAGAATTTTTTCCTGCGAGGAAAAAAAAANCTGATAACTAAGTTGCTCTAGTTGCTCAACATAAATATATTTTACACACAGGTGCTTTTGCTAGATGTATGCTAAACATCTCAGAGTTAAAGATAATAAACAAGCCATCAGTTACTATAGAACTCCTACTGCAATATCTAACATTGAAGTTTAAGTAGAATTTTTTCCTGTGAGGAAAAAAAAGCGCTGCCCATTATGCTCCCATAATTATACAAATTCTGCCAATGCACAATGTTAGGAACTATTGGGTATATACATGTAAGTATCCATACCATCATTTAATCCAAATAGACAATTTTGTCAGAAGCAGTCAAAGCCACCCTTAAAGGCAGAGCCAGGATCACACCCAATTATTGAATTTTGAAAGTCAAATGATGTAGGATACAAAGTTTGGCTCCAGTGAAATCACATTAGATTAATAACCAGCAAAAAACTACAAGGCATATCTTAGCATCCTGGGAATTATCTGGCTGCCAATAAGCAGAAAACCACATTATTTGACCTGAACATAACATCAATTTCTAAGAATATTTCCCTCCCCAAGCTTTGCCAATTCCAGGTCTGAAGGATTAAAAATGTTTGGCCATGCATGTCTGAATTGATGAGCCACACATGATATATTATTTTAAGACTAAAGTTGAAGTAACCCTGCCCCTGTGGTCTCCCCTCCCTTGCCCCTGTGGTCTCCCCTCCCCTGCCCCTGTGGTCTCCCCCCCCTGCCCCTGTGGTCTCCCCTCCCTTGCCCCTGTGGTCTCCCCTTCCCTTTCCCTCTCAAATTAATAATTGCCAGGGATTCCAGACTTGTGCCTGAGCACAACAGTGAGTGAGAGAAAATATGAGTGATAAATGATAATAATTGAACTATCATTTATCCGTTATTGCAAGTCATTAGGGTTTCCAAAAGAAATACACATAAAATATCACAAATATGCCATTTTTCATAGGACAGAATTAGTAAATGATTTATAGAACTAAAAACCATTTATCAATTATCAAAACTTAACTGATAAGACAAGCTGAATGTAGTTTTTGTACTTTTTTAAAATATCGTCACTGATGGCCTTGAAATAACCAGATATCACAACATTTTCCTACTAGGGCTATACATAAAAAATGCATGACTAAGAACAAAAATCAGATATTCTGATCCGTAGCCTAAAAAAGAAGAAAAAACAACTTCAGAGAGCTCACTTCATCTCAGCCTCTCTTGTTGCTATTGATTCCCCCAGTTAACATAGGCGTGTGTGCGTGTATTGATTGGACATTGCATGGGAATGGATAAACACACATAATCTCCACGCATCACTAGATTACCCGACTCCAACTCCACCGCTCACTCCACTGTGTGTGTGTGTGTGTGTGTGCTGGTAGACAGGAGAACAAGTTATCCAGTAGTTAAACACCAACATTTAGGTTAATTAAATCAGTGAATCTTGGAACTCAGACATTGACTGGATTTCTACGGGAGATGAGTGGAATTTAAGATCTTTTGGTAAGTATGCACATGTAAAACTTGTTTAATTGAGGAAATTTGTGGTCGTTGTATGTCAAAGTAAATACTGGGTGGAGAAATAATGGCAATGGTGTGCAGATACTGACTGTTTATCAGGAGCATTTTTGTTTTGTTTTTTTTTATTTAAACTAAATCTTAATTATTAAATATGATCAGAAGGATGCATAAAATATTTTTTTTTAATTTGGAGAAGAGGTACTTTTTTGTGGCATGCCACTGAGTTGCAAATCTGTAAAATCTATAGAATCCTGGATTTGTTTTTTTCTCTTTGCAGTTAAAATTAAAATCTTCTACTGGGATAGGTTATACATTGTCTTGTTGCTAGGTAAAAAAATATACATATTGGATCACTTTATAATATTCCACATAAACATAAACTAAATATTTTCATTTTTTCAAATTTGACAAACATCAAAACATAGCTTCTTGGTGGAAGTAATGAACCATTTTCATGTGGTCCAGGAAACAGTTTTCCTTAAAAGTTGTCCCATGTCTTTATTTTTTAACACAAAAAAAGCAAAACTAACAAGAGTATTCAAATAAGTGATAAGGGAAGCTACATGACTTTGCTTTTCCACTTTGATATTCCCCGGACTGTACACGTACTGTTATCAAACTACGAGGTCTATATCTGTTTGCAGGGGACGTTCCTCAGCGTAACTCCATTAACCACATTTCCCGCTACGAAATTACACACTCTCCAACGGAACCATCCAAGATTAAGATATAAGTCTGTCTAGTCTGTTCTCTATCACTCCTAGACTCATTACACTCATATCTCACGTTCTGAATTATTAATCCAAGCAATATATTCTTTTCACAGTAAAAATATTTGAATTCACAAAAGAGGACAGACTTAATGAAGCAGAAAAAAGATAAAATAATGCCCTAAAAATTCCAAGATAATTTTCTGAGTGACTTTCCATGAGGCAAGCCTGCCATATTGACAGATAGGGATTTCAATTTTCTGACTCACTCATCTATGAAAGCATTATTGGGAAAATGCGTCAAACGGGATTATTTTTTCACAGAAATTACCATTTAGGAATAGATACAGCTTGAGAGCAGAGTTGAAAAATCCATAGAAAAGTCATAAAACCATAAAAGATGGGTGTTTGTTCTTCAACATGCTGAAGATTTCCCACAGCTCCAAACAAGGACAACTTAAAAACACTTTAAAAGGGAAGATGATATACACCAGTTCTAAAACTTGACCCACAATTGATTCCATTACATTCAAGCAGAAAACAAGCAGAACACCCTTTTTTTTTTTAGAAATTTAAACCATTCTGAAAAAGAAAATGAACTATTACTTAAAATTTTAGGACTATTACCAAATAAGATATTTAAAATCCATGTTATCAGAAGAGGTACCTAAGGTCACAGGAGAGGAAAAATTAAATAATCACTCCATGGTACCTTCCCTCAGTACTTTTTACCCAAGTCCAATGTCAACCACACTTTGTTCATTTGAAGTATTACATCCAAACAATTTTCTGCACAATTTTCCTCTATTCTTTTTTTTTTTTTTGCATGGGCATCCTGACTTGAATTACAATTATTCCCATTATTTGTCATGGTGATATATACACTACCATAAATAATCTTTAGTTTCGTTTCTTTTCAGACACTGCAGTTAAGCCTGATCTGAAAGTTTCTATGTCATTTTGTATTGTATGATAACAATTCTTCTCTTCTTAGTCACACATTTCTTCCAACAGTTTAGAGAGGTTATGCAGGCACTGGATTTAACAGAAACCTGTTTCTAGTAGCCCCACAGCTAAAAAAAAAAAGATTTCATGTAACAATGCTCCCTTCTTTATGTAATTCTACTATACTGTACTGCTACTTCAACTGTACTGCTTATCTTTGGTAGTCCTTTCACGCCATGCGAGTTCAAAAAAGATAAATTTATTGAACAGATGGACTGAAAATGAGTGTAAACTACCTGTCATTTATAAAACAAGATCTTAGGACAAAAACACCAAAGTTTAAGGATTGCAAATACAACTTTCACTGTGAATAGTTTCTGTGAATATTAACTTGATAGCAAAAAAGACACAGTGCAGAGATGACAATGTTTCAGATTACATTCTTGGAAGAGGTAGTGATCCGTATAAAATACAATTACACGTCTTAAATGCTTTACTTCACACAATAACTGCTACTGAAGGGTCGTTGGATATCCCTACAGTAATGGCTATTTAAGCATTTTATGAATGGGTGCAACTTACACAAAAGATGCAATCTTATCAAGAATATTTTTAAAATCCAATTAGGTTTGTATCAATTACAGCTCAATTCACAAGTTAGAGCGTCAGCTGGAGTTGATTCAGTTAATGCTTGGTAGGATCTTAGTTTTTGGCTCAAAGCTCTAAATGGGATGTTTCTCTGGCACAGAATATAATCTGAGCATCATGTTTATTTGTTTTATTTGATCAAATTTGAAGAAGCATCTAACAGTTTTTTGGCTCTAGTATGGGTAACAGCCTTAGTAAAAAAAATGCGACCATTAAAACTATGTTCTGGTTATGGCTATAAAATAATATATTTGTAATATTTTCAGAGACGTGGATACAGAGGATATTTTGAAATACTGACAGCTTCATCCAGTAGCTGCAAGATGTGAACAACAATTGACACACTGAGTCTACTGTGGTACATACACAACTTGAACAATGTCATCGATGATATTTCCCTCTCTGTATGTCTCCTTAGACGGGACCAAGGTGACCATGATAGATCTTATCATATATGGATTTGCCTTTGGATTAGGAATATGTTCTCTGGTGCTTAACTGTGTTGTACTGGATACCTTTAGAAAATCATCTCGACTTCATGACATGATGGGCTATTTCATAACAAACATGGCGGTTGCTGACACTCTAATTTCCATATTTGTCATTTACAACAACTTGTACAATCTGGTAGTATTTCAGCATGCAACTGAATGCTTGTTTAGATTTGGGATGCTGAATGCACTGAACATCACATCAGTTCTCACTTTAGCAGCTCTCACATTAGACCGTTATTTAAAAATCGTTCATCCTTATCTTCATGAAAAACATGTTTCATCGTTGGGAGAAAAAATAGCCCTAGCCATCATCTGGGCTGTTTCTCTTCTGGTGGGCCTTCTCCCCCTCATGGGGTGGAGCAACATCACACACGGAGAATTCACCTGTAGTTACTTTGGAGCTTTCACAAAAGGCTACATGATTCTTATTGTAACCATGTTCTTCATCCCGTTTGTCTTGATGATCATTTTATACACACATTTGATCCACATTTCAATGAAACATGCTAGGATGATAGCGTCTCAGAACACAGGGGGATCACACCCTAACAGAGCCACATGGAAGTCCACGAAAACCGTCTGCCTCATTATTGGAGCTTATTTTCTGTGCTGGGGACCATTGGGTAAGCTCCATGTAATATTTATCTACAGGGGATCATTATTTAGAGAATCCATGCTCTGCCCATTGATTACTTAACAAAACTGAATGCAGCTGATGCAATTACTTAAAAATGAAAGATTATTTGCTTCTTTTTTCTTTATCAGAAGAAACCATCAGTGGGGCCTTGAGTGATATTTTTACTTGTTCTTGATTTTCTGACTCACTTTTTGAATAACCTGTATCAAACTCTTGAAGACAAGTTATATCCCTCTTAACTTATCAGAAATCTATGCCTGCTGAGTATTTTCATTTTGATGAGAAGTAAAAATGCACGAAACTGATGAAAACAACAAAAAGAGGACGGAAAAAGTAGATTTACTTCACAGTTTGGAACTAAATAATTTCAAGATCATTCTGTACTAAAGCAAGGATTTTTTGATATTTTCCCCCAAACCACATTTCTATATATTAATGACTACAATCATAAACTTCACCTATACAGAATTTTAAAGTCACAGGGCAGGAAATGATTGTTTTTCATATTCACAGCAAAATTTAATTAAATTGAAAAAAAGAATATTCAGAAACTAATGCTTGTAAACCTTGTTCTTTATTTCACTGAAAAAAAAAATGTCAACTGTCTCCGTATCTATTTCAGGTTTTTACATCATAGTAGTTATAAGTGACAGCAGAATAATGGAAGGAGTCAATGAAGGCCAAGTCTTGGCTTACCTCGCGCCCATTGCCTTCAGTAACAGCATTATCAACCCTATGATATATGCATTCAAAATCAATGAAGTCAGAGACAAATTTAAAGCTTTCTGCTGCTGTTTATGTAGAAAACACAGGACTAGTAGCAGTGACACCACCAGTGTGTTAGCCATGTCACAAACTAGCAGCAGAAGTCCGCGGCACCAGACAAATCATAACAACAACAATTCTCTGCCAATGACTAGGAAACAAGGCAATAAGAATAACTCTTTGCCAATGCAGAGAAAACAGGAGCATGTCATGACAAAAACAATTAGCTGCTTCACCGTGGCAACCAATGTGTGACAGAATTTGCAGAAAACTATATATATTTTTACGTATATATATTATCATGCAATTGATGGAATGTTCTGTGGCAAAACTTTGTCATTTTACCAAACATATGATGTTTCTGATGTGTTAATTAATAAGCTAATTTATCTGTGCATTTAAAAGATTTTATAGCTTTCCTCAATAATAATGACTTGAATGCCCAAAAACATCAGCACAGTCAGATTATTCCTTGTATTTCTTTTCTAAAAACTGTTTTATTTACTATTTAATGTATTACAACTCCTTTACCAAAGCTCACAGGGGAAAATAATAAAATCTACTTCTCTTCACGCACCCTGCTGCCATATGCAGGGCGTTATAGAAAAAGACAGAATTTTTTAGCACAGGATTTTTCTTAATTCAGATGTGTTGTCTGTTAATTTGTTAACTTTCATATTTCCTTTGTTGAATCTTACATATGTCCGTGAATTATGTATACATTGAAATAATACCTTTTGACAAAAATTATCCATCACCACTACTACCGTATAATGATAGTGTCTGGCACGCTTTCATCTAACCAGGAAGCTGAATTTTCATCAAGCTCTGATAACTTTGGATAAAAGAAAGCTTTTATCTTCTAACAAAGGAGTTTCTTTATAATATCTATATTTTATTAGTTGCTGATTATCAATAGTGAAAGGCTTGAGTCTTGAGAGAATTAATGAGAGGCATTTTGAACTGCACCTTTATATGTAAACAAAGAAGGTTATAAAATATTAACTAATATCTCCAACAAGGGAATCTTTTTACACCTAAAACTGGTAATTGTCTGGGATTGAAATCAAAATAGATCATGTTGCGTTTTCTTGTTCCATGTTAAAAATAGAATTTAATTGATAAAACAGTTAAATCAGGGAGAATAACTGTATTTCTCTATAGGCAGAGAGGCAGCCAAGCCAATTCAAGCCCACCAACTTAGAAAAGATAACATATGACACGATATTCACCGAGTGACTAATAATAGGAAATCATAGTCAGTTTTTACAGATAAAGAATAAGCTATCACACTGTGGGTGAATGGGTAAAAGTGCCAAAACACAGCGAAGAATGGCTTGAACTCAAAACCTTTTTTAAGGTCAGCTAGCTGCTAGCTGTCTTCACTTTTCCTAGTGTTTTCTTTATGCTGCAGAGATTAAATTCCCAAAACCCTATAAACAACCATAAAACTTTCTCCAAAATACAGTGAGTACTAAATTTGAAAACATTTTCTAAAATTTAAGTGTATTTCTTCAGAATTGCAAGAGGACATTTAATCTATATATTTGCAACTTAAATGAGCACTACTATTAGTAGTTAAGTAGCAGTAGTACTGAGAACAGATTTCTACTTGGTGAAATCTGCATGATTGCAGATACATTTACGACTGACTTTCACTGTGAACAGGAAAAACTATAGTTCCTTATTATAGGGTACAACTAAGCAACCTTTTTTTTTAAATAAAATAATTTCATAAAAATACATTAAATTTAGCAACTGTGGCTGTGCTCTAAGATCTAGTCTGAGAATCCCAGGTCAAGTAAAATAAATCAAGATAGGGGCAGGGGGGTTCTCGATTTTGTTAATAATATATAACAAGGTGAAATTGACTGCTGTTCATTTTGAAAAACCCAGTTAGATTTTCCATTGATACATTTAACCCAAATGCAATCAAGTTATAACAGTTGCAGAGTTTGCAGAGATCACCTTGATACAAACAAAACCACCAGCGGTTTCCAGAACCAGAAATTGACAGCTTATGAATTAGACATGATTTACTCTCTATGGCTGCCTTAAAAATTCATGAAGTGTCCATTATTTTGCCTAGCTGCAACAATTGAAGACAACATATCAAATGGCAGATCAATCCACAGTTTCATAATACAAGACTGATAATGATGGTTTTAGATGATTTTCAACAGAAGGTTCAATATGAAGTGTCAAACAAAGTGCAAACTATCATTCCTGTTGACAACTACCAACAGGTAAATAGAAAAACTGGACATAAAGTGAAACACTTGTTAAACAGTCTATTGTTGATAATACTACTGATTTTGTGTATGTTGTACATAATAAATAAGATAGCACACATTAACAATGTGCTACAAAGAGCATCATTTTGGCATGGTAAAGTTCATCCTACTCAAAGACAAGAAACAACAACAAGGAACAGCCACATAAACTTCATTCAAGTGTCTAAAGTACAAGACATTTATGAAAAAATAACTTCAAAATGATAGTCTGTATGCGTGCTGTAACATATCAGCCAGTCTATCAAATCAATGAACCTACAGCCAAGTATGTACATATTTACTCCAAGAACCAGTGTTAAGCACACATGCATGTGCACACACACACACACACACACACACACACACACACACACACACACACACACACACACACACACAGAGGACAGGTTCTCCCACTCTCTCTCTTACCTGTAACAGGACAGGTTCTCCCACTCTCTCTCTTACCTGTAACAGGACAGGTTCTCCCACTCTGATATCTCTTACCTGTAACAGGACAGGTTCTCCCACTCTCTCTCTTACCTGTAACAAAACAGGTTCTCCCACTCTGATATCTCTTACCTGTAACAGGACAGGTTCTCCCACTATGATATCTCTTACCTGTAACAGGACAGGTTCTCCCGCTCTGATATCTCTTACCTGTAACAGGACAGGTTCTCCCACTCTGATGGCTCTCTCCATAGTCCTCATGTAGTTAGGGTCCGAAGCCTGGACTATCTTCAGCTTAGTGCCCTCCATCTCAGCAATCCACCTGGAAANATTTCAAAGTTTGTTTAAAAAAGCAAGATCTTGAGGGAGTACTTAATTAATAAATAGTTTTATAACTTATTTCCCAAGGATATCTCAATATAAATGAATATCTTTCATCAGTCAAAATTTTTCTGAAGTAAAGAATCAAAGTCAAATATTTTCACAGTATTTCTTTAACTTCACCATTTCACCTTGTAATTAAGACATGAAGTTAACTCACTTGCTAGCCTGCCCCTGGGGGTCAATGAGCAGAGGCCACTTTCTCCCCTTCTTCACAAAGATGGCATTCTCTGTGGACAATGTGTCTGTTGGGAGACCTTCATTTTGCCACTGAAGGACCTGAATATCAATAGTAAAATCAACCATTACAGTTAAACCATTTATTTATAAATGCCTGGAGACAAGTGTGACTAATTTTTCAACATTTTGTTCTATGTCCAGCATACACTTCTTATTATTGAACTGTGAAGGCCTTTTTGATTTCAAAGTAATCTGAATTACAATTATCATTCAACAGAAATTCTATTAAAAATTAATATCATAAAATAAATAAAAAGCTAATAGGTGGACTTCCCACAATGTCATTTATATTTATAGCATAATTTAAAAAACGAAAAAAAAAAGTAACACCATTTTTGTGTGCAAACAAACCTGGTTGGCATCAGCAATAATCTTGACCAGCTCATATTCCTCAGAAATCGGTATTTCTGCCGCCCTGCATCGTTCCTCCCATTTCAGTATCAGCTCCCTCCTGTATTTGGCTGTGAAGGCCCCCAGGTATGCCACGGCAGCCGCGGACACCAGGGTGTCACCTACCAGACCTTGGAGCTTGAAATCCAGGACCTTCACTGACTCCGCCCACCTCACCTGGAACAGAAAATTTTATCATCAATGACCAAAAAAAAAAAAAAAAAAAAAAGAAAAGAAAAAATGTAATGATAATAACACACTTCAATGGGTACTAAGTAGATCGTCATTCTGAAACTGTATCTGGAGAAGTGTCCTAGGTAACCCCAACAATTACCCAACAGTCTCAATTCTCGAACCTTTGAAGAGTGTGCACATATAGATATATTATCCTATCCTAACTAAACAGTCAGAGAAAAGTAATTGCCTTATATAGCATATTTAATCATGCATATATTTACTACTTTTACTGAGCTTCTACAGTTATAACAAAGTTTAAGACAATATAAAAATGTTTTGAAGGGTTTCAGTATTGTGTTAGCATTATGAGTTATAACAAAGTTTAAGATGCTGTCACAGTGTTTTTACCTTCTCGTCTGCCAGGGCGGAGATGAGCACAGAAGCCCTCTGTATCCTGAGGGCTGTGGTCTTCTTTCTCTCCTTCAGAGACTCTCTCTGGTTCACGCTGTCCTGGTACTGCTGCTGGAGCAGCTTTAGGTGGTCTTGAATCTACGCAAATAGTAATTTTATAAGATATTTTTGGTAATCATAGCATTACTATTGTGTGGTAACCAGGAGTGGAGAGTTTGAAACATGAGAAATAAGTTTAAAAACTAAATGACAGTAAACTGATCAGTTACAGAGGTTATCAAGATGAATGAAGAAAGTGATGGATATAAATTTAAGTAAATTTAAAACTGGGGAATGAGAACAGAAAGATGTGCGAGACATCAATCAACAAAGTGGATACAGACATCAGCACCCTGGACAGTCATAATATATATTCTTCATGGTTGAAGATTTGAAGATTTGTTTTCTTCGTATAGTATTGAACTGCTTTGCAGGACTTTGACGTAAGACTATTCATCATTTTAGTTAATCTAGGCAATACTCAGCATAAATTCATGATTTAATATATTTCTCTAAATTTAAGGACCTTTGATATAACTCTACTTCTATCTTTTGCTAAAAGCACTCACTCCTATGAGTCAAACAATTTCTTACCTTTGATAAGCTAGACTGTTTCTGTGCTAAATTCTTCTGTGCCAGATGCAATGCTTCTTTGGCCTCTTCTACCCTCCTCTGCTTAGGTTTGACCATCTGAAACACGAGGAAAAAATAGATAAAAACAGAGAAATTAAGCAACAGACCAATAGTACTGATAACACCACCAGGTGCATGATTGCCACTCACTTCCTTCTTCTGAAGAAAACAGAAATTCTGGCTTTTTATTCATGGTTGTTTAATCAAATTTCTATTAATAGCAACAGCTGAAGAAACAGAAGCTTTCCAGAATTTAAAAACACATCAACTCTATTAACACAACCTCATGTATTTCTCTGTCAGTTTTTTCAAAACACGCCCGAATGAGAAGATATTTCAGATGATATATCAACATCAAATCTATAGACCTGGAAGCACCTGTTGACCTCACCTTATACACTTCATTATACCTCTCCAGGGCCAGCACCCACTCACACATGGACTTACAGGCCACTGACACTGTGCCCACCTTGTCTGGGGTGAAGTCTGCATGCTTTGTGTACTTCTTTAGTTTGTTATAAACCTACAATATATAGTGTTGTGTGAAAACAGATAAATAACAAGTTTATATTTTCATTTTTCCTGTTTTGGCTTAAATCACTGCTGTCAATTAAATGTCGAAAGAATTTTTTTAAAAAATGCAAATAAAGAACAAGTGAAATGTTGCACAATATCTTTAACAGGTATTAATTCCCAAATTAAAATTCCCAAATACAAGCCAGTTACTAATAAAACCATCACAAGAATCTAATATAAAAGGATTACATTTTTCATCTTAAAAACAATGTTCTTTGTAACAGATAAAAATCCCACATAAAAAGGAGTAAAATATCATAATATACCTTATCAGGTAGATTATTCTTATCAAACTGGACCAGCCTCTTGAGAAATCCCGCATCCCCAAGCACCTGTTTAGCTGTGGCCCAGTCTGGTTTCTGCTGCAGTAACACGCACACGGACGCCATGACAGTCATGACCAGCTCGGGAGGGTTGGTGTACACACGGATCTCAGCAACGTCTGATTTGTCCAAGGAGTCCAGGGAGCCGATGGCTGTCTGCAGGGCCGGGATCACAGAGTTCAGGTCTTGCTGACATTCCTAAAGAGAAAAAAGGCTGTGGTTTAAGAGAACATGCTCGTTATTTGACAAGACAATTATACATGTAAATGATTTAATGGACCACTGACTTGCTTTCCTAAATTCTTTGCTTCAGATACTCTAAGTACTCCTGCTATGCTTCAAGCAACACACAGAGCTAAATATTTCCTCCTCATATATAAATAACAAGCTCTCTTACATCAGCGTAATCCTGCACAATCTGCGTCTCTTTCTTCATGACGCTCTCTTCCTGCTCCACAATCTCCCTGACCTGGTCGACGGCCTCCTGGTCCTTCTCAAGCTGCTGTAGTAACAACTCTGTGTCCTATAACAACAACAACAAAGTCATAAAATAACAGTTATAAAAAATAAAAACTCATATCTTTCACCAAAACATTTAATTGTGAATATTCTCAGTTATATGTGTAATTTTAAAATAATGCATAAACTGCTAATTATAAATACCGTAACACGAGCTCAATCTGTGCCTTTAATCTAAGTTTTTCTTTATGTGTGTTTTATGTATATTTCTTTGAAATAAATAAATAAATAAATAAATAAATAAATACACTATATTAAAAACATTCCCTCTAATTATACGAATACCGTTACCTTAGCTTTCTCTTCAATTTTAGGCCCCAGTGTCACCAGCTCCTCCTGCATAGTGCCCACAAGTGAGTTGGCCTCTGAAAGCTTGGATAAACCAACCAGCAGACGGTCCCTAGGTTTTATTTGATAAATAAATTCTAAATGTGTTTCAACTCTTAATCAAAGGATTTCTAAGCTTCAAAATCTCTAAGCTTATGCAGAAATCATATACTACATTCAATTACATTATATATATATATATATATATATATATTTATTCATACTTTCTGCACCAGACTGAGCTGGTGAAAATGTACAGAGATATAATAGCAACAATAATAATGATGATAATAATAATAATAAAATACATAGATGAATAGCACCAAAATTATATATATAGAAATGTACCATTATTATACATACGTATCCAGTATTTCATAATCATAAGCTAGGTGCGGTCTTAATGCCGAGTCAACTTATATTCTCTCTCTTTTTTATCTTTATCCTACATGTAGTACCTTAAGTTTCTCTCATTTTCTAAAAGTTCAACAGTATATTGTAGAATTATTAAAATATCACATAGTAAATATGTTTGTACAAAAAATATAGCAGTGAACAGCAATTAGGTACATCAAATTCTGTTAAAGACTGTCAGAAATCACCTGTTGTCCATGAATTCCTTCTTGTTCCCCCTGAGCATCATGGAGTAGACCCTGATCAGCTCCATATAGCTGCTGGGGGTGGTGTAGTACTTGCGCCTCATTTCCTCCCAGAATCGCAAGGTGGCAGCACTGACACTGTTGTGGATGTTAACGCAGACCTGGGCCACTCGTAGCTTCAGATCCTGGATTACAGCACAGATAGTGAGCATAAGACAGTGTGGGACGATGAACACAAACAGACTGCATAATATGAAAGACAGAGAGTAGATGAACACCAACAGTGAAAAAAAAAAAACATATTCTAATGTCCAGCAGGATCCATGGTTTCTTTCTGTAAGAAGTCATTGGAAGCTTAAGGTTTTTCGCAGACTGAGATTAATAATGTCTTATGTAATGTATTAATACACATACAAAAAAATTTAGCATCTTCAGTGCTGTACAGAGAAAATGTTTACACATACAAAGCAAACAGACAGTTGAAGAAAGGTATGGAATTTGACAAAAAAAAAAAAAAAAACTAACATAAAACGGACTCAGAAATGGAAAGAAGGTATGTATGACAAACAACATTCAGAAAAAAACATGAATACCAGTTTGTGACATAATTTTATGGTAGTTCCATCTGATCCTTGATTTAAAATCTGGGCAAAATAAGGGCTTCAAAATGGTGCTCCATTATTTGCAATGCTATCAGTGATACACATACATACATGTATAGGTGCATATCTACAATCTGAACACAGTGTTGCCAATCCATACATTGTCAATATACTATCACATTGAACTACTTGTAGATACAGTCATGAGTGCTTAGAAACTTAACTACATTGGGAACTGAATTTTCACATATAAAACAAGTCTTAAAATTGTTTTAAAAAAATCAAATGATGCAAAATTTCAATGCCTAAGTTACGTAACTTCCAAAATGTGATAATAAGCAAATTGCAACAATTACCATTCATGTAAAATGTAAAAAGTTTCATTTGTTTTCAAAAAATAAAAGGAAAACAAACAAAAAAAGTGCTCATGAAAAATAAAAACACAACAAACCAAGCATGATGCTCTAAAATGCAAGATGTCTTTCAATTCTACTTTACCTCCACCATAAAATAATAAAGTCACATGACACCTTTAACAAAATCCCTTTCTTTTCAATCACTTGTAATGGTGCAAAGATGCATGTGAATGGGCAAACAAAACAATCCAAAGCAAATGGACTATGTGTAAAGCAAAGTGCACCAAACTTACATACCTCCAGTTGTTCATTTTGTTCATACTGACAGAGAGAAGGCAAAGACAACATGGATGATAGAAAAACTACATGCACTGCGTATAGTGGGTAAGCATATTACAGACTTCATTTCAAATGCAACATTTACATTAACATTTAGCAACATTTTACCAAAAAATAAATACACATATACTAAGGCAAAAAGAGTACAAAAGCTTAAGAATGTTTCTTTTAATGGAATTCTGCCATAAAAATCCAGTCAATATCAGACCTTATTAAATATTACTATTACAACATTATGTGTAAAACAAATGCAAATACCATAACTTGTCTCTATAACTTTTGTATGTTTTGTGATAGTATATCTTTATGAAGTGGATATATATATATACAATGTAGCTGAAATACATGTAGTAATGAATTAATTCTAAATGAGCATGAAGAACTATTAACAGATAACCACATCTGTGTAAGACTTTCTGAATAATAACCCCCTTAAGTCACCAATTCTACTCACGTTTATGGTCTGTCCTGACTCCGCAACAAAATCAGAGTTAGAGAAGTAAACTGAGGCCACACTCAACATGGCCTCCTCGTTCCACTCATCGTACCAGTCGATGGTGCAGCAGTTGATCAGCGATGGGTTCATACGACAGCGGTGGCGGAACTTATTTCCAGCAGGGCTCATTGTTAACACTATATGGAGGTTCCTTCTCACTCTCTGAAAGTAGACGTTTTCATTGAAATATTGTTTACCTGCTTAATAAATTATTGTTTCTGTACACTTGACATCATACAAAGGCAAGGTTTCTTTTTTTTCTCCTTAACATTTTGATACAAAACCAAAAACTACACTAAAAATTCTTCACTAAAAATTCTGCAATGATCTTGAATAATTAATACACCACGAAAAAAGGATAAATGCATTAGTAAAATGACCTAATGAATGAATGACAGCTTTAAAAATTTTAAAAACAAATAGTTTAGAAACTCTGGTAATTTCCCGCCAGCAGTCTACCTGTATAAAGAACTGATAGACTGCAACTCTGGTGTCAGGTACGTCTGCCTCGGTGGCCGCGGCCTTCAGCTCCATCACGATTCCATCCAACTCCTCGTTGTCAAACAGATCAGGAACCTCCCCTGAGTTCAGGATACAGTTGATGTCTTCTAGAAAACTCTCCTGTAGAATTTTAAATGGAGATATATAGAAAAAGTTTACTGTAAACTCTTTAGCAATTTATAAGCATAGACACTCTCTGTATCCTTCAGACTTACTAGTAATATTAACATTCTAATATTCAAATAATAATATTTTCAAACAAAACAGGATAAAATCATGGTTTCTTTTAATGTTATATCAATTTATTTACTAAATTATCTCTTTTTTTATGTTTTTTTAATGAAGTAATATATGATAATACTGATTTCAGACTCCATAAACCCCACTCTTTGCACCTTAACAATATCACTGTCAGTTAACAAGAAGACAGTATTGTGTCCCTGGACGCCGGCCAGTTTGTAGACCGCCTTGAGGTCATCCCTGAAGTCCTGCATGTTGTACCCCCTGGTCAGTGTTAACTTGAACAGTTCACAGCCGGCAATATGGGCAGACAGCTGTACAGTGGTGGACTTGCCTGTCCCATCTATACCAACCTGAAATATAATTAACACACAGACTGTTGAAAAAAATAGACAATCTTATGTGTCACCTGAAATATGATCCAAATTTACTTTATAAACTCTAAATTAATGTAAGGGAATTCTTTTCAGATGCTGGGTTGGGATACTGGTTATCTAGATAGAAGACTGTATTTTTCAGGGTAAAATGTGAGAAAAGAGGGATAAATTGTGTTAGAGAGGACAGCTGTCACACCTACCACAATCAGTGCAGTAGAACACAGTCAGTTCCTACCAGTTATTTTTACTGTCCATACAATATATGTAGTTTAATCAAATCTAAAATCATACTCCACTCAAAATAATTTTCTTTTCTTTTCCAAATGTCATAAAATTCTCAACATTTACCATAATAGGAACTGGCATAAGAGTATATGTTGCCTATTTTATGCTAGCTAATTGGTATCTTATGGACCCCCCTGTATACAGTTTAAAACTAAGAATATACTCCATGCAATATGGCTTTTTTCTCCATTGTCATAATTTTTTCAATATTTCCCATAACAGGAACTAGCACTGGGTTGTCTATCATATTCTAGCTAATTGATAATACTGTATACAGTAGAACTGGAGAACAGTCAAAATGAATCACAAACAAAAAGTTCCTCACCAGCAGCATGTGTCCGCCTGGCTGTCTAAACACCCTGGCCGCCCGCGTGATGTGCTCCACAGCCTCTTTGAAAAACACAATCTGGGATGCCTGGAGAAATAACACCACAATCATAAGGAATATTTAACATAAACATAAAACTATCCAATACTGGTTGATAAAAATGTGTTTATTTTTAAGAATTCTTAATATTGTCTCTGAGATCTTTTATTTTGGTAAAATTGTTCACAAATTTCAGGAATCCTAAACACAGATGATATCTTAAGTCAACACCTCAACATCCACTTAGTAAAAGCTGTACCTGTACATTGCCGATGTTCTGCTGTGTCATGAAATGCTCTTCCAGCGTTCTGCATAACTTAACAGTGTCTGTGATTGGACGATATATCTTTCCTGTTGTTGCATCGTCCATGTGAGAAAAGTCGCCAAAAAGCACCGGTGTGTGCATTAGTGACTCTGCCTCCCACTGAACCTGGAGACGAAAGAAAAAAAAAGAAAATTATTTGATTATTGATGAAAGCAAATCATTGAGAATAGTTTAAATCGTATTGATTGATTTCCCCCCTCCAAAAAAAAGACTAAAATATTCAAAGAAAAGTATCTATTATTCACTCAATACATGTGATCAGTTATGAAAAGGAATATATTGAGAAAGGTCTCTATTAAATTGATCAATCACAAAATAAAATACTTCATAGAAGTTTCTTTTTTTTTTTAATCTACCCAAAGGAACTTCAATTTTTCCCCAACTGAAAAAATAATTCCAGCTAATCAGTGTTTATCAGTATGTCTATATTCAATAAATAATAATCTAAGTTGTTGTCAGCCATTGTGTCATATCATCTGCTCTCTCACCTTGAAGTAATCATGCAGTGTTTCAGACAGGAAGCTGAAGAAGGCCGCCCTGTCTGCACTGTCTACTAGCCTGTCGTGGAACACCCTGGTGGCCTCGTGTGAGAACAACTGGGCACAGTTCTCCTTGTTGACTATCACCTGCTGGTGTGCTTGTAACAGACCCGTGATTACCTAGAGGACAGGGATATATCACACTTATATTACTATCACCTGCTGGTGTTCTTGTAACAGACCCGTGATTACCTAGAGGACAGGGAAATATCACACTAATATAACTATTTTAGGCTTATCTTTTGCTCTAAGGCGTCTACATAGCAAAATTAGGATACGCCTTGAGCATTTGGCAATACATAAACTGACAAAGCAACTCATGCACATTACTCATCAAAGTTTCAGTTATTCTCCTGTACACAATCAAACCCTCTCATCCCCAATACTTACATCTGTGAGATCCCTGATATTAAAAGTATAATGTGACTTGGCCGGAGTGGGCAGCATATTCATACACATCTTGTAGTACATTGCTATACTAGCTGACACCAGAGAGAATAGCGACTCCTTCACCTCCGGCATGAAGTCGCCATCTTGGAAGTACCTGCCCAGCTGGACCTGGTAGATATGCTGAAGAGACCGGGTGGAGGGCTGGGGCACTGCTAGCATACTGTAATGATAAATGAATAAATTAATCAACCAATTAATTAAATCTTTCTGAGGGCATTTCAATCATGCACCTCGGGTTTGTCAAGACAAAAACATGTATGGTAAAAGAAAAAACTACTCTAACCAGACTTAACATGTTTTTGTTTGTAAAGCATGATGTTAAGTCTCTTTAGACTTTTTTCTACAATATTAACACAAGAGACACTGAAAAATCTTTTTCACTTGATTTTTATGTAAATCAGATGTATGGCTTTGCAAAACAAAAACTGAAAACTGAAGCTGTGATATTTCCCTACCAGAAGTGTTTGAGAAGTCTGGGGCTGACAGGGTTTCTGCCTCCACCCACGGGTCCACACGCCCCCACAAGGGTCACATCCATGATGTCCTGAAATATATCTTCATTTTAATATTTTATCACACACACCCCAATCAAGACACCTGCTATATTGCCACAGAAACTTATCTTTAACCATGATGTTATAACAAATAAGTCAAAAGGTAGTTAATGAAAAATATTAATAAAAAATTGCTGATTTTTGTGTGGGTATAATTACAGTTGTCTGAAATCAAACCATTTTTTACATGTAATTGTTAATATAATGCTAACAAAACAGGCACCTGAAATAAACAGGCACCTGGCATTTTCTTTAATATCTTTATGAATTATATCTGACATCAGTGACATGTTTAGTAATTCTAATTAAATTAATCTAATTAAACTTTTTTTTACCTCTCAATAGGAACCTTTTTATGAGATTCAAATCGTTATACATGGATAAAGTCATACCTTCCACAACATTCTCCTAGTGTCAAAGAAGCCGCCCAGATCCAGAAACTGTCTGAGAAGTTCCAGTGGAGGCTGAGCTCCATATTCCTCAGGGGCTGGCATGTTGAAGTCATCAACAAACACCAATACCTGGAATGTGAGATGAAAATTAACAAAACATCAAAAGAATATCTTTCTACCCTGAGCTGCACTCTGATGCCTGCCAACATTTGACTTTCAAATCACTACACCATGGTGCTTGCTCAACAGACTTTGACATTCAGTGATATCTGATTCAAGTTTACCTCCTCAATCACGATTATGATTATCATGTGTTTGCCATTATCAAATACTAGTTGTGCCACCATAAAGAAGCATGTTACATAGTTTATAATGTCAAAGTTACAATACCATAAGTGTAGTTACAGTTACTACCTACATGTAAAATTAATCGAATTCAGTGAATTATACTCTTTTTCTTCCTTATAAAAACTAATCAAACCATCCATTTTCCAATCTAACAGACCAATAGGAAGCCTCCCAAACCTTTTTCCCCTTGGGTCCTCCCAGCGTATCCTTGCCCTTCTTGATCAGCCTGTGTATAATGGAGAGCTGGGTCCTGGCGGAAGTCGTCTGTGCGCTAAACTGTAGCAGACTGGTGGAGATACCTGTGTTCTGCTTGGGTTTGTTGGTTCCCATCAGGAGATCTAGATTCTTCTCTGTGTCTATGTCTGAAATAATTTTTTAAAATTATAATTAATTTAATTGATTTCAACTAAAATGTTGAGTTTTACATATAATTGAGTTCAAATAGAAATTATAAAATAAAAAAATTACATTAAGATCTAATTTAGTTCAAAATAAACACAAAACACTATAAATATGTTAAAGAAAATGGAATTAAAGTTTTATGAAAGAACATGTCAGAACCCATTACTAATCAGTACACAGGTATAAAATTGCATCAATATATCCTTTGTAAAAACCTAGAAATTTATGATATAAAAAACAATGCACAAAAGACACCTGTATGAAACAGTCTACAGAAACTTTCAGTGTCTTACCTTCCTCCATGGCAAACTTTGTCAAGCTGCTGATGTTTTCTAATAGCGACTGGTTCTTGTCAGAGAAATTTAGCACATTTCCCAAAATAGTTCCATTTTTTGTAGTTGTCCCATTGTCCTTGGACATTTCCTTCAACATGTGCTTTATGATGGCAGACTTGCCAACACCAGATTCACCTGTAATGATCATGATGAAAAACATTATTTGTCATGATGGTACTTAACTTCAAACAGCAAGTTATTTTCTTAAAACCATTCGTTGTATTTAAAGTCTGCCTGGCTTGAGAATAATTAGTAAAATAGTTTTCCCTTTATTAATTTATTTAATATTGTTCATGTGCCTAAATAATTTCTCACCTGTGAGCAGAACTGGGTGACCATTCAACAACAACAGTCCTGTCAGGAAGGAATATCTCACAGTATCCACTGTGGTGACAATCTCGTTCTCCAGACGACCCTCTCCTGGTTTGGCGTGCCCCGTGGACAGACCCATGGTGTCCCCTATTGTAATCACAGCGCCTTTCTCAATCAGGGAGTTTGTCTTTGGTACAAGCACATCCCAAGGTACAAAGTTTCCAGACTCCATGTCCAGGAAATAGCTGAACATCGTCTTGTGGCCGGACGGCAGACGTACACCTGGGCAAGATATACAGTAATAATTGTGGTATTCATTGTCAAGAGCAAAATGTAAATAAATACTTAAGTCTGTTGGACTAGGTATACTTTTTTAAATTAGGATAATTGATTTTTTTTTCTTACCTACTCTTCAGATTCTGCAATGTTTGAATTATTACTCAAAAATTAGTCTAACAACAAAACAAAGATAAAAAATTGAAGGCTATTCAAAATTCCTCTCATTAAAAGAAAAGAGCTTTCTCTCAACAATATTCCCAAATTTGTTCAAACTTATCATTTATAGCATTAATTATTATTGCCCTATATCAGATGTTTAAATGTTACCCTGTTAACTATTAACACTTACCAAGAGGTGGTTCGACCTCCAAAAGATCCCTGACAAATCCATCAAATTCATAACAGATATTGATATCAGGCTTGTCCTTGTCTCCTTCCTTCTTGGTCACAGCAATGTCGTCGTCCATCTCATCAAACCTTTGCAGACTTCCACCAAACGCCCAAGTGAAGGCAAAGGCAAACAGTTTGCCAAGGAAGATTGTGAATTTGCCTGGATTTTTCTGCATGTAATATTGTTTTTGATCCCTAAATGATGAAATTAAACTGGCTGTTTATTAAGAAATGGATGCAAAGACAAAATTGTGTATAAATTAAATCAGATAAAGTGTCAAAAGTCCCAGATAATGGTTTGAACATATTTCTATTTGTAAAACAATGCACTTCAATCAATTAAATTTATTTACTTGTGAGGTTGGTCCTTTTTGGCAGATGCTCTGTCTTCAATTTTCTGCAATTCCTCTTTAATCTTAGCTTGTCGTCTGCTTCTCTTTTTCATCTTCTTGGTTCCGCTGACATCGGTTCTAGAAGAACTTCGTGATTGGCTGGAAGTATGGCTGTCTGCACTGGAGGGACGCCCTACTTCTTTATCTACACAGAAAAATTATTAAGTATTTTACACCATGGTCTTACAAAAATATTGAAGACGGCTAAAATGTCATAAAGAAAACTGATTCTTTGCAGACTACAAATCTATTTATATCTTAGACATTTTTCAATCAACATAACATATCCATCAGAAACACATAATTAATGAATAAACATACAACAAAATGTAATGAGATCAATAAGACATTTTGAATTATACTGAGATCATTTCTTATAATAAATAACATTTTCCTTTGTTTAAGTCATGGCTGAACACACCTGGGTCTCCAAAACCTCCATTTTTGCTCATGAAATCAAAGAAGGACATGAGAATACTACACAGACAGTTCACCATGGACATAGCGGGGACAGGGACGGACTGGAACTTCTGGTGCTGGAGCATGAACTCCAGTCCCTTCTCCACCGTGTGGTCAAACAGAGCCTGGAGATGGTGTTTGCCGCTCTCTGGAATCTCCTTGGGCAGCCTCTGCAGCCAGGTCTTCACGTATGGCTTCCAGCCAAGGTCAACCGGGTCCTAGAGTAGAATGACAAAATAAAGGCATAGTTTTTTTTTATCTTTTTTTAAAATTTTTTTCTATTCATTTTTTTTTCTTTCTTTCTTGCTTGCTTTTTTTCTTTATTTGTTTTTTTTTACAGGGGAGGACAGTGACAGAAAAAAAAATCAATTGTTTACTGTACAAAATTAAGTTTACATAAAATTAGTTAGAATAAGTGCATACCATATGAATTACTACACATACACTGATGATGAAAGAACCAAAACAATATCACTAAATATATAACAAATATATTTTACTTTGTCTTCCTACTTACCAAATAGACCATGGCACAAATATTGATGGTGGCATGGAGGTCATAACTGACTATATGATTATAACTGTATAATGCCTAAACATTGTCTCTAACAGTGCATACTTTTCACACTCGCTGATGATGGCAGGACCAAAACAATATTACTAACTTATATGATAAATATATATACTAGGAGTACCTTCTGAACTCACCATATAGACCATAGCACATCTACTGATGGTGGCTGGACTGGCCTGTGATAAGTTATCCACCTCAAACATGAGTCTCATGCCAAAGCCGAGGCTAATCCTCTCCCCATTGGCCAGACAGAGAATCTTACTGTCATCCAGCACTGTGTTCAGATTCTCTACCCAGATGGTATCCACTGGGCCGTCTAGAACCTACAGAAGTCATGGAAATATTAGATTATTATCATTATTATTAATTGAAAAGATATTTACAGCTGTAAAAAAGAGGGGGGAATAACACTTAAATTTTTTAGGAAGTGTTTTTTTTCAGTTTTAACAAAATTTGTTATTTAGAAAATACTGGTGTGCAGCATGACTGCACCACTTCCATGATTCTGTACCATGGAATTGAGAGCGAGAGAGAGAGAGAGAGAGCAAGAGAGAGAGTGAGAGAGAGAAAGGAAGAGAGAATGAGATGGAGCTAGCTATATCTTACCAGCCACTTCCAGTCCACAGGTATCATCTCCCCCTCATGCATGGTCTCGTGATCAGGGGGATGGTCAGCAGCGTCCCCTGCCACCGTCTGGCCATCTGTCTCCCCTACTTCACTGATAGGACCGGGACTGGAGGGGTTGGTACTGGCAGTCTGGAAGATAGAAAGATACTTAATGACCTTACTTTTAATAATATAGGATATCTTTAAAAAAAATGATTCCTTGGATTCAAGTAGAGAGGGAAGGGGGTACAGGAAGGGGCAAGATGTCACTGGATTGAAATAGAGAAGGGAGGAAAAGGAGGGGAAAAGATGCCATTGACATTGGCTTTGACATCTTTGGCACCCACCTTATTACATACCAGTACTCATCTTGCCATTCTGACATACCAGGGTATATCCACCTGGTAGTGTGCGTATGGGCAGTAGGACATCCATCCACATGCACACACATATTAACACGCATATACATATATATATACACACATGCATTTATGCACACACGACCAAATACACATGCATTCATCAAGGTGACCTACTGTTTAGCTGGTGATTGTTTGTTCACTAAAACAATGAATAAGGATATCAGTGTAGACATGACTTGGACAGGTTTTATCTATGGTTGTCTATGTGATCACACTTTATCTGAGTGAAGAGAGGCTGACACCTGATACCACTATGATGTAAATATTAACATCTACTCTTGGATGAGCATTATCACTAAATAAACTTTACAAAATTGATGATGCCATGTTTGCCTTTACTAGCCACAGCCATGATATGTATAACAACCCCCCAGGGCCACCATCCAACCTACATTGTACTCCACTGTCCTCTCTTTATTCACCTCAACACCTTACAAGATACCAACCAGAAAATAGTTCTACATAAAACATGGTTCCAGTAAAATTGGTTGCTTTGTGTACCAGAGATTTACATACATATGGTCAAAACATTTTTTATAATATATATTTTAGCTTTACATGTAATTGTATGCATTGTCAGAATTGTTAAATATAAACTTATGAGAAAAATGTGGCCTTAAATTTTGTAAAAAAAAAAAAAACAACCATAGATTCCAAGAAAGTATAATAATTATCTAGATTCCAAGAAAGTATAATAATTATCTAGATTCCAAGAAAGTATAATAATTATCTAGATAATATAGGTAATCATTTATTAAAGATGATCAAAGTAAATACAAGTTTGTGCATACAACGTGTAGAACCGTGTATGACCTTGAACTTTTGGTGGGTCCACAGGACAGTACAGTCTGACAGATAAAGCTGCTATAATAAAACTATAGAAGTCAGGTGATTGGCAGATACAGAACGGATTATGTCTACGTGGTTAATAAATGGCTGATAAGAGCTTTATGCATGTAACCCATCTACACACTGTAAGCTTACCCCCCCCCCCCCCAAAAAAAAGGGGAAAAAATCAGGACATTTTACTTTGTCACCAGACAATATCAAATAGGCAATATCTGTCTTCAAGTTTATTGAGTAAAAACTCACCAAGTGAGAGGATATGAAATAACTTCTGTGCAGGTATTATTTCGCAGATCTCAACTCATATTACCTGTATTCAATCATTAAACTGACACATTATGCTTAATACTTAGCATTTTCACTTGAACACAGCACAAAGTGACTGGGACAATGTGATCTTTAAAGGATATGAAGACAAAAGATGACTTTAGGGCATTCTCAATCACTTATCTTTAAGAAAGTGATGTGTACAACAACTGTTGTCCACTTCATGATAGCCCATCTTCCTAAGCTCTAGTAAGGAGTTAATTTATTTTTGCACTAACAGTTGATTTAACTGCCAAGGTTTGCACCTATTTAAAGCTATACTGTCATCAGTCCAATATTTTATTTTCTGATCCTTATAGATAAGATTACCCCATTTAATTACCAACCACATCAGTCTGGGTGATGTTTGTCCTGATAGAAGTTTTACTCAGGTGACAGGTATAGGGTCTCAAAAATATTGCTTCCACAAGATATCAAGTCTAAATTGTGATTCAGAAAAAAATCAAAGCAAAATGACAGAGTTTTTTTTTAAATATTATTTCTCGTATGAACTGAGATTTGAAAAGTGATTTCATTCTTTGCAAAACCTAACTTGTATCAGTAAGTGTGATAACAAAATATTGCGAGAACCGTGTATGACCTTGAACTTTTGGTGGGTCCACAGTTCCATGTACAGTATGACAGATAAAGCTGCTATAATAAAACTATCAAAGCCAGGTGATCAGCAGATCCAGCAGGGATAATGGCTGCGTGCGTACCTCCATCAAGAGAGGATGGCACAGCAGACCTTCGCAATTGTCCTAAATGTAAAAAACATATGACTGCACCAAGACTTCTTCTGAGTTGTTGGCATATTTTGTGTGAGAACTGTCTTGCTGATGCCATAAAGGGGAAGAAGTGTGGAGAAACCTTCCAGTGCTTTGTGTGCAGTAAAAATGTCCCTGTGCCTCGGGATGGTGTGGCTGAATTTCAAGTGCCTTTGTTCCTACAATGTGAGCCCGATGTCAGGACACCGTTTGATGAATTGGACAGTAAGAAGGGACATCTCGGTAATCAAGTTCAGAAAATGAGAGTAAAAATCAAAGAGAAAAATGATACCATTACTGAGCTTGACCGCCAGGAGAAAGAACTCACAGCAGAAGAGGAAGAGGCAGAAAGAGAAATTGACACTCACTCCGAGGAGCTTATTAAAGGTATAAACAGACAGAAGGAAGAAATGAAGAGTCAACTTCGTGCAAAAATTAAAATTGAACAGTACTTTGTTGATAAGAAACGTTGCGATGTGATCAATTCAAGAAATGGAAAGGAAATGATAGCAGAAGTGGCTGTTCACTTGATGGAAAATGCGACACCAGAAGAAATGATGCTGTACCAGAAGTCTCTCTCTTCTACTATGGATGAACATGAAGCAGAGATAAAGGATACAATTTCCAAGAAATATAAAATTGTGTATGTCCCTCACAGTGCTAGTGAATCACAGATCAAGGATATGTTTGGGAAAATATCTGGAGGGATATTCAGCGAAGTTGGAATGAAACTTGTGGCAGCGTTTCGTGCCAAAGCTGAAGTAAATGAGAAAACTCCAGACATAGTGGCGCTGGCAGTTGACAATTCCATGAATATAGTTGTACCAGATATGGAGAACAACAACCTAAAACTATTTGACAGAAGTGGCAGATTGGTATCAGTGTGGTCAGGTGATGGTAGACCTAAGTTAAGTGGCCCTACAGGTGTGTATTGTACCAGTGGTGGAGAAATAGCAATATGTAGCCTAGGCAATAAGGGAATATTGTTCTTAGATCCCAAGCAGAATTTTACAAAACGTAGAGTCATCAAAGACAAAGGTTATAGTTTTAGAAGTGTTGTCTTTTCAAATGACTATCTTGTGTGTACAGCAGGTTACATTAGTTCAGCTTGTGTGGTGATATTAAACATACATGATGATAATGTAGTGAGAGAGATAAGGAAAGACAAAGATGGTAGTGACCTTTTTTGCCATCCTTATGGGATAGCCTTGACCAGGCAGGGTAATCTGGTGGTGACAGATGATAAAAAGCACTGTGTCTTTGTACTGACCATGGAAGGGGAGGTATTACACAGGTATGGTAGGAAAGGGTCAGCTTCAGAGGGGGATGACTGTTTAGATTCTCCAAATGGTGTGTGTGTTGACAAGCTTGGTCACATACTGGTCACTGACAGTGGCAATGACCGTATCCACATGCTGTCCCCAGAGGCTGAGTTTAAATATCATTTGGTCACTGGGAGGGATGGTCTGGTAAAACCCCAGGGTATTGCTTTAAACCAGGAGGGACATCTCATTGTGTCAGAGGGCAGTACTGGTAAGATTAAAGTTTTTGATTACCTAATTTAAGACAGGTTATGAAAAGACATGAGGTTCTCTTTGTATGAAGTGGTACAGTATTCTGTATGGCATCAATCTGTCTGGTTCTTAAGTGTAATAATGACACGGAGTAGTGGGAGGTTAACTCCCTTTCACAGTAATAATTATAATATATCATGGAAATGCATGTTTTGAAATCAGATGTGCTGACTTTGTTGTACTCAAAGTACAGACAGCATAAAGTGTATACAGATATCCAATAACATACTCAATTATTGCTTTATAGGTAGGTGCTTTGATTTACAATACAGCTTCTATATGTATATATTTAGGGTCTCTGCGTTAGTAATCTTTTGACTGTAAACTTGATTATTAAATCCAATGTATTCTGCTTATTGTATAAATCGTATTGTATTCAATTTGGATTCATTCATTCACTCAGATTTGCTGTCAATTATGTGATTTGTTAAGTATTTAATATATAGCAAATAATTGGATGTGTTTTTGGCCAAGATCCATGATGCCTGGAGTGTTAATTCCAGTCAGAGATCCATCATTATAATAATAATATTAAAAAAAAAATGTATTTACTGTTGTTGATTTCTTTCTTTTAAAGTATAAGTGAACCACAATTAACTTTAAAGAGATATTCTTTAAACAAAACAATTGAAAAAGTATCATTTGTATGTTTAAAAAATAATGCATTGAGTTGCAGGATTACTCTTTTGCTTATTTTTTCCAAATTTTTTTCTGAATTGCATTAAGTAACACAGATAACTAATATTAATATTCATTTACACATAAGCCAAACAAAGCACCTTCGACCCTCTAAATAATAATAATAATAATATTAATAATAATAATAATAATAATAATAATAAAGAGCAGTGCTGGGGAGGGTTAAAACAGACTGCATGCAGCTTACAGGTAAGGTCAAGTTTTCAGAAAGGAACAAGTCAATTATTAACAAAAGAATAAGCATGGAAAATTCAGTCTCCTTTTCTGTACCTGATGTAAAGGTAATATGATCCTTGTGACTATATGACTACCACATTTACTTTAATCATACAAATCACATGGTTTGTACTGAATTCATCCAAGAAAGAGAAAGGGGAATCCCCTCACCTGCCTGGGTTACATACCACATGGAACCAATGACTGACTGACTGACCTGGGTATTAACTTTTAAGTTATACTTATTATAAAAAATCAATTACACTGTGGTTAAATATAAATGTTGCCCTTAGAGCAAAAACAGACAATGGGTCTAAATATTCAATTTTCATGTTTTATACATGTACACTTTGTGTTTAAATGCAGGTTCATTCCCACTCCCAGTGAAATCCCCTCGGATGTCTTGTGATACTTAGTCATTAACTACATCACATGGAATAAGTCACGTGAAATAAGAGATATGAAATTTTATGTACAGAGAAGAGACTGAATTTAATAAGCTCTGAATTGATGAAAGGGAAAGGTATGTCACAGTATCTACTTCTGTGTGTTTGTATATGTTTGTTTATATGTATTGAAATAATACAAGATAGAAAGACACCATGGTTATCTTAAGAAAAGTTACTTTTAATTAGAGGTCAAACTTACAAATTTTACATTTTAGCATAAATTTGTGTAGTGTAAGGTTATAAAAAAGTACTGTTATGGTTATTGCTGGAGTTTGTTCATTACACAAACAATAATGCTTTTTTCACTGTGGAGTAAAGATTAATATAACATGGCAAGAATATTGCCACACTGAACTAACTAATCATATTTATGTTGTTCCCGTATGTTGACTTTTACCCCAACCCCCATTTTTTCTCTCCAATGTATTAATTCTGGGGCATTCACAGTATTTATAAAAATTCCTTATTCCATATTAAACCACTAACCCACTCAGTTTGTATTCTTCTGTGTCATAATTTTCGCTGTAACGCATGTAACTTAAAATGTTTTACAAACTTTCTGAGATCAATTTATTCCATTTTCCCATAAGACAATGCCTTTACCACATGATTAGATGAGCAGGAAAAAAAAAAAGAAAAATCAAAATTGATAAAGAACAAAAAAAAAAATCAACAATTAAAATCATTACCCATCATTTCAGGGTATGGAACCAATGATCTATGCTTGCAGATCTAGAGCAGCATCTGTGACATCAAAAGCAAAATCTAACGACAGTTTAGCCTCTCTACCCACTAGCAAAGAATCAAAAGAAGGATTTCTTCAGAGCTTAATTTCAAAAGTCACTTCCAAGAAGGACAAGTTGCCAGACAGTCTTCATGATGCAATTCAAGAAGGCAGGGTCCAAGATGTCAGCAAATTGCTTCAAAACTTTGATGCCAAATACATATTTGAGAAAACAAACTCAAACGGTGATCCTCCTCTCATCGCCGCGACACGGTGCGGACACAAAGATATAGTGGAGCTTCTCCTGAGGTATGGGGATAATGTCAATCGCCAAAACACAAGTGGCATCACACCTCTCATGATAGCCAGCAGAGTTGGAAACCTCTCTATCATGCAGACATTACTGAGAAATCCAGGCATAGCTGTGAACCACACAGACTTTCACCACAAAACAGCTCTTCTGTGGTGCATGCAGGCGTCTGATGAACACTACACCTTAGAAGCTGTCAAAATTTTACTTGACAATGGTGTGAATCCAAGTTTGGAGGACAAAAGTGGGAACACTGCATTAACGTTGGCTAAAAAGAAAGGATTTTTTGCCATAGTTGATGTACTCTGCAAGCATATGAATGAACACAAAGTCAACAGTACCAAAGACCAGCTTACATCTTCAGGGGAATTTGAAAATTCTCTAAGCTCTATAACAACCATTTCCTCACATTCATTTGGAGCTTCTTCCTTTGCCTCTTCTCACATTGACACAGGAGAGGATAATACGCTGGCAAAAACCATCCAAGTTGTGGCTAAGCGGATAGGGACAGACTGGAAAATGTTGTTCAGAGACCTCTATTTACAGCCAGGACAACAAGCAAGGAGCGTCTCTGTGAAGCACATTGAACACAAGGCCCAGGGACTATATGACATGGCGTATGAAGCGCTGATGGAATGGAGGCAGAGTCAGGGCGATGGCGCCACTGTACAAGTACTGAGGAACGCACTCTTAGAATGTGGCAGGAAAGATATTGCTGATATGATCAGAGACCATGAAAACTGATATGATTTAACAGCATACAGACTGTCACTGCATATATTCGATTCATTTCTAACTTACCCCAGAACTGCACAAATGTGTCTCTAGTAAATATTGTTGTTTTATTTTTTATGTTTTTTTTTATGGTTTGTGTAAGTTATGATTGCAAACAATGATTTAGGATAAAAAACTATTAGTTGCCTGTGCTCATTAAATGGGCCCAGGGGAGGTCTCCAGGTCAACACTATATAGCCCCTATGGGATGAAGAGACCGTGGGGTGTGAAATAATTCAAAAAACCATTAGCAATCTCATGGATCATGAAATATTGATCTCCTTGTAGCTAAACAAACATAAATGATGGAAATTTATACAAATGGAAAGATTTTCATAATAATAATGACTAAAATATCAAGATTTTTAACACCTCAAAGTGTGATGTCATATATATGCATATCCTTCTTGCTGCTATTATAAAACAATATTATTATAACCATTCCAATGATGTAGTATAGGGTTTGCCACTAGGAGTGATGTAATTTAAAATAACAACAACATCATATTGTAGAGGTGACCCCTGACATCATGTAGTGCAGGACATTGTTCGCAATATCAAACACACACACACACACACACACACACACACACACACACACACACACACACACACACACACACACACACACACACACACACACACACACACACACTGTGGTTCTCAGTGAAATATATATGAATATGCATACAATGTAGTTCTCAGTTGAATAAATAAATATATACACACACACATATACAACGTAGCTCTCAGTAAAATACATAAAAATATGTATACAATGTAGCTCTCAGGTGAATAAATAAATATATGCACACACATATACAATGTAACTCTCAGTTAAATATAGATAAATATGTATACAATGTATTTTTCAAGTGAATAAATAAACAACACACACAATGTGCTCACTGTTAAATGATAGTGCTAACAATAAAACCACTATCTAAAAACATTTCATTCACACTCCAACTCACCACATCAGTGGCCCCAGTCAGTCCAGTGGCACTGGTCAAGGCGGTGGCCGCAGTGGATGGACGGTCCTCTGTGGGGGTACTGGCCACCTCTCGAGCAAACCTCCTCACGGCGTGAGCTATCAGGCCATCCGTCCACTCAAATGTGTTGGGGTCAGTCTCCCCGTACAGCTCTCCCAGTTTCACACACTTGGGGTTGATGGTGAAGATTTCCACACGGCCTTTCTTAGACCGATTGTGCTGATTGATAAGAATACATTAGTTAAGTTCTCTTGACTTAAAGCATCAATCCAATGACTTAATGCTTAGAATGTATAGTCAATTTTAATTTAATTTAATCTAATTTTAATTTAAAAATAGTGTAAAATTTAAAAATATCATCTAAGTTTAATTGCATTGATAAAAGTAGCTATAACCAGCTAATATCAGTCAACCTTTACACTGTTCTTGTAATTTACCTTGTTAGGAAATCTCAAATTACTCAGAAAATTTCTAAACCTCAAAATTGTCAACCTTATTCTACATACCACAAACATCCCAGGTTTCCTGAGAGGTGAGTCCATCAACCCATCCTCTGCAGCCACATCAGTAGAGATAGAGGGTAGCAGGACCAGAGCCCTGTGTAAGATACTCCTGGCGGTAGACTTCCCACCCCCCGTGGGGCCCACTAACATGACCCCGTGGCGCACCAAGATCTGGCTGTAGAGCTGCTTCACTTTCTCTATCTGACTAAACCAGTGTTGGAGACCCTGGTCTCTGATAGACATGGAGATGGCTTTCTAGAAGGTACACCAAACAGGAGATATACAAAAGATATATAACATGGGATATGTAATATGGAACAGGAGATCTATAATAGATAGTAGATGTTAAGAACCAGTGTTGTAGACCTTGATCCCCGATGGACATGGAGATGGCTTTCTGGAACATACACAGATCAGGACATATATAATAGATAGTAAATGGAAAGACTGATACTTGTAACACAGTCTGTCTCTCTTGACTTGTAGTGGTGAAGTTAGCAGCTTGTCTCTCTATTTTTTCTGTAAAACTTTCCATTGAGCAACTGATTGTTGAAAATGGCATCATTTAGTCGTATTTACAGAGCTGATTCTGAATCAGAAATGACAAAAAAAAAAAAATTCACATTATTTTGTCTCCTAATATTGGAGTTACCACACCTGGGAATAGGGGCCCATACTAAAACAATGATTATGGAAGACAGTGTACTGTCCTGAATAAAAACCAAACACAGAAAGAGAATATTTTTACCTCTAAGATCCCCTGGTCTTGCTCAGGAGGTATAATTCCTGGGAACAAGTCTGCCAGGATGCTCTCAAACAACGGCACATCCTCCGCCAGGAATTTCGGCAGGTTGGCGTCTCTCAGGGAGTGGATCAAGATGTAGGATTCTTCCTTCTCTGTCATACTCTTCACTCTACCATCAGAGCTGGAACACAATCAAACAATCTTTTACCCCATATAATAAATAATAATTGATTTCATGATAATTTCTGTCTTAGATTTAGAGAAAATGATAATTTTGTAAGAAATACACGTCTATGTATAGTTTTGATCAATTTTTTAAACAAAGATATTTTAATACTTCTGTCAAAAATAAGCAATCATCAAAGTACCCCACTACCTGAGTTGTGCCTGTCTTTTCCTCTGCCCAGACATCACCAGCACTGACTTGATGGCTCTCATACCAAAATCATAATGGTCCTGGGATAGGAAATGTGTGGAAGAATATAATTAGATCCCTTAATGGCCTACACACAGTTTAAACATTTTCCAATCCCTTTGAAGATTTGCCCCTGAGCATTTATATTGTCAAGAAATTGCTAAATCCCATCTAAGCTACTAAAATATCATGTTTTCTGAAGGATTTTATCATTCACTTTTAACAGTAACGTAAGGGAAAAGTCCAATCTCAAACTGTGTTTTATTTATACTCTTTTCCTGTAGTAGCAAAACAAAACAAAACAACAATGAAAAACAGTGTAACCATTAAAGTTAGTCTCTTTGACAATATTCAACCAGTCCTTTACCTGCTGCGAGAGCTGTTTGCTGGCCAGCTGATACAGATTCACAATCTTCCCTGACAGTGACTTGGCAGCAGTGAACCCCTCTGAGAACAGCATGATCTCGGCAATCTGGGTGTAGTCTGGCACCATCATGGCGACAGAGCGGAACAGGTACTTCAGGTTGTCTGGGAGCTCCACACGCCCTGCGTAACTAGAGAAATGTAAAATGGAAATTATAAAATTGGGATATTGGGAGAAAATTCAAACATTTTTTCAAGTTGAGCCTGCACCTCTTGTTAATCAAATAAAGTTCAAAGATTTCAATCACAATTGTCATATAAAGGGTGAAATAGACTGAGTGAGAGTTAATAAAATTCTCACTGAACGTCCTATAAATATTGACCAAAGGACAATACCTAAACTATATTTGTATGTGACACTTAATTACAAAACAAAAACAATGAAAAAAATTAAAAAATAGCAAATATGAAGAGAGCCTACAGGTACACACATACCTAGGATTCATGGTGATAAAGATTCCACATGTCATGTTCAGTTTTATGTCTCTGCCTTCAAATACAAACCTGTAAAAACAAATTACAATATGAGTGCAAACTTCAGTGCACAAATATTGATATATGGGGGACTTAGAGGCAAAACTTTTATATAAGAAGGGAAAATCACAAAAATAAATAATTATGAATAAAAATAATAACATCAAAATTATAGCCTTTAAAAGAATTTCTAAAGCAGAAATGGTTTCATATTAAAATATCGAATTATTTAAAAACCAACAAACATGGTTGTGACTCATTTAACCAAACCTACTTTGGTGCCCCGGTGTCTTTGGCAGCCTTGATGGTGAGCAGCTGCTGTGCCACCACTGACAACACTTCTACATCTATCCTGTTAAACTCATCAAAACAGGACCAGCTGCCAGACTGAGAACTGCCAGAGAAGAACTTCCCCAGCATTTTGAAGTCGAGGCCTTCTGAACAGTTGAACACTACACACTGCTTGCCCATGGCCTGATGATGATAAAAATATTGAAGTTTAAAAATTTCATTTTTCTACAGTTGACTATGCATTATAAGTACTAAATTCATAAAATTAACTTCTCTCAGAATAGATTTTCAAGGGTTTTAATGGATTTCAGAGGTAAAGGAAGCTTTTTCCTGTATAAAATCCATAACTGTTACAGCTGAAAATTTTATTGAAGCAAATAGCTTAAATACAGTTCTCGACCTACCTTAGCCAAATCTTTAACAGTCTCAGTCTTCCCTGTTCCTGCTGGCCCAGCAGGGGAGCCTCCCAGGTGCAGATGGAGTGCGCCTGTCAGTGTGAGGTAGCACCTATCTGTCAGAGGGGTGATGACCAGCCTGGGGGAACAGCCCAGATACTCGTAGCCGTAGATGAAGGAAGCGTTAGACTGTAGGACGTGACAGTTATTGGTCTGTTCATCCCACTGATAACGTAGTTGTCTAAAAAGAAAAAAATATTTGCTTGATCTTATGTTATATGTGCAAGAAAAATAAGGTTCCATGATGGTTAATATAATATCTTCTTTTACAAATTTTGTCCTATACTTTTAAACAAGGCAGCAAAGCTGTCAAATGTACAGACAAAAAACAGAAAATAATGATGCAAAATAGGTCATTTTGCCAATTTTGATGCAATAATAAATAATGCTTATAATAGCACTGTTAGTCAACACTGAATTTTAATCATGCACAACAGGTAACATGGTCAATAACAGGAGCTGACCCAGAGATATTTTCTGACAGTATTCCAAAGTATCTTTGTTGATCCATCCTCTATTTTGATGATCTTCCAACAGAAAAAAAAATAAATATCAGTCAATATAAACTTAAAAATCCGAACGTCTTCCGGAAGCTGACCCAGAAGATGGTCTCAATCCATCCCTTCAATAAGATTACAGTATCAGGACCATGAGAGACCAAAGTCACATGATGAAAGTCTCAATATTTGAAAAATGATGACAGTGCATAAAATAATATTACATAATGTTTGAAAACATAAATAACATACAACTGCTTATGTGGAAATACAGAAAATGTGCAGAGCTTCAGGCGGTTAAATATCACAAATGCAAGTGTTTGAGAAAAAAGTTATTAAGGAAAATAAACAAAACTAGAAAAGCACTCCGAGAGTGCAGACCTCTGCCCAGGCAGCAATTGTTGATTATATATATATATATATATATATA